AGGCACTGTCTGTGCTGTGGGCACAGGAGCTGAAACAGGAGAGAGCACAGGAGAGGGCACAGGAGAGGGAACAGGAATGGGCACAGGAGCTGGAACAGGAATGGGCACAGGAGCTGGAACAGGAGAGGCCACAGGAGCTGGAACACAAATGGGCACAGGTGCTGGCACAGGAGAGGGCACAGGAGCTGGCACAGGAATGGGCACAGGAGAGGGCACAGGAATTGGAATAGGAGCTGGAACAGCAGCTGGGTGTGCCGCGCTCTCTCCCGAGTTACAGGGCACGGAGGGCAGGGGGGCTGAGGGCACAGCGCAGCTCCTGCAGCTGAGTGAATCTCACGGAGGCGACACAGGGACACGGGGGTGACAGTCCCGGCTCCCGCAGCAGCTGCTGGCGCCGCGGTGGCCCCGGGCTCGGTGGCACCGTGCGGGGACACCCGGAGGTCCCGGAGCCCGTTCTGCAGCGCTGCCCGGCCCCGCAGGACACCCAGGGTTGGACACCCACAGCAGCACAGACGGGTCCGGGGCTGTGACCGTGTTCACGGGGGTCCGAGGATGAGGGAAGAGATGAGGATCTGACTCCATGTTTCAGAAGGCTTGATTTATTATTTTATGATATATATTATATTAAAACTATACTAAAAGAATAGAAGAAAGGATTTCATCAGAAGGCTGGCTAAGAATAGAAAAAGAAATTAATAACAAAAGCTTGTGGCTCGGACAGAGTCTGAGCCAGCTGACTGTGATTGGCCATTAATTAGAAACAACCAACATGAGACCAATCACAGATGCACCTGTTGCATTCCACAGCAGCAGATAATCAATGTTTACCTTTTGTTCCTGAGGCCTCTGAGCTTCTCAGGAGGAAAAATCCCAAGGAAAGGATTTTCCATAAAGATGTCTGTGACATCGGGGGATGCTCAGCTCACCTCGGGTCCTCCACGCTGTGGCTGCCCACAACCCAAATCCTAAAATGTTTTCTAATTTCATTTCCAGACTCTTCCAACTGCAGTAATTCTTAACATATACAGATAGCCATATACATTTTTTGTTGTTTTTAATTAAAAAGCTCCTTCACATACACAATCATATATTGAATTAGCAAGAACAATAATATATTTCTGGGAGAATAGCAAAACATCTGCTCTGCCAGTGCCACCCACAAACTAGACAAAGAACTAAGAAATCTGACAGTTTCAGACCACTTAGGAAAGAGAAATTATCTTGGCCTAAAGACAGGGAGCCATGCAGTGAAGGTGCCATGGAGGGTACAGCAAATGCAATATACAGAAAAGCACAAACTGTTAAAAATGTTTTCTTGTAAAGATTCTGCAGCCAGAGGGTGAATCCTGATCATCAGGAGCTTTCTTTACAATTTAAGAAATAATGGATAGGATTGAAGCAGAAGAATGACACTGAAAACAATAAAGAGCTATGCAAACACTGAAAGATCGATTTTGGCCTGAAGCTGAAATTTGCTTTAATGTATCAGGCGGGGTTCTGAATTTTAAGAGTGCATCTGGTTTACAAAAAGTTGTTGCTGCCAACCTCATGGAACAATAAAACATCTGACTCTGTAAGGGACCTCAATGTCTTGGCAACAAAGCCCAGACACACCAAAACTGAAAGCCCTCCTTACCAAGGACAAAATGCCCAACAAAACACAAACCCAGGAAAGAATCAGAGAAGGAAAAGAAAAGGCAACTCTCCTAAGTTTAATTTTAAACACCTGGAAGAGAAAAAAAAAAAGAAAAGAAAAAAAAGGAGGTGGGAGTGGAAGCAGCTTCCAGTGAAAAACAGCTGTGAGATTTTGGGGCCAGATCAATCAAATTGGCATAACAGGCTCCAGACTGGGAGTTTTTGCTGTTTCCATATCAGAAGTTATCCCAAAGCTGAATTTGAGTATTTTAACTGCATTGTATCTGCCAGCACAACTCAGACCCAACTGCCCACTGGGTTTTTCCTGGGAATTCTGGCTCATGGACAATCCCAGTAACTGTGGGTGGTGCCTCAGGGCTGGAACAGCCCTCAAGGACCCAACTGTTCATGCCAGGTTCTCCTTCCCAAATGGGTGTGGGGAATGAGCTCCTCTGCACAAACTCACACCCCTGGGACCCTGCTGAGCATCACCCCAGCACCAGTCGGGGCTCAGGGACTGGTTTGGGGGAGGCAGAAACCCCAGGGAATGGAGCAAGGCTGGGATCTCTCCATGAACCCCCAGCCCTGCACTGACACCTTGGGGCTAAAAGAACATTCAAGTGGTGAACATCTTCTTCAACTAAAACCCTGCAAGGCCAAACATGCAGAACGTGTTTTCATTAGAGCTGCAATGAAAATATTTTGCTGTTTCTCCCCTTTTTAAGGGCTATTGCTCACCTCAAAAAGATCAGATCTGTAAAATGGCATTTAGACACCCAGGGCCAGAAACTGGGGAGGAGCTGGGGGTGCCCCAGCCTGGCTGGAGGGGGTAACAAACTCACCTACTGTGTGACTGGAGACATGGATAAATGAGAAAAAAACAGAATCTGAAGGCAAAAATGGGATCTGCTGCTCCTGGATGAGATGTGCAAAGCGTTGATGGAAAAGCTCATGAGTGTCACCAGCAGAGAGCGGAGGGGTGACCACAACAGGAGGGGTTTGCCTGTCTGTACACAGCATTCTCATTCAAAATTAAACTCCTTCCATGAAATACCTTCACAGATTTAACAATATATATATATATATATTTAGTATCCCCTGCATAAAAGAAAAGTACACATTATTTCAACAGCCAAGAAAAAACTGCAATTTATTAAGTTTCAAAGAATCTTCGTACTCTTGAAAGCAACTTTCGGTGCATGTTCTTTTAACAATCACATTCTATGAGGAGAATAAACATTAAAAGCCACAATTGTTGGTTTTCTTTTTAATCTCAGAGTTACAGACATCTTTAATTCAAAAGGAAAGGCAAAAAAAAAAAAAAAAAGCCCCTAAAAACAAAACCCACCCGTTCCCCCCACCCCAACCCCTCCAACAGAAATTTTCATTCCCAATTTGAAAATATCAGGAGTTTTTCTACAACTCAATGCTAAACTTCAGCATGGAAAATTGTATGTAAACACGCACATACACACATACATATTTTATATAAGTGTGTGTGTGTATATATATGTATATATAAAATATATATGTAGGAGGCGTGTAATGGCAATGAGATGCAATTACTCTGAGGAAAGGTTATTCAGCTAAATACACTACTAAAACTTGAGGAAAAACAAAAAAAAAAAACAAGTCTTGAACCCAGTTTGTGCATAGTTCATGATCCTCTATAAAACCAGCTTTTGTTAATTTGCAATCTTGCAGGACCCTTTAAATCTGATAAAACCATTAAAAAGCTAATCTTCCAAAAAAAAAAAAAATGTAATGCACAAGTTTCCTGATCCAAGCAGGCAGGGAGCACAATGTTCATATAATTTTTAAAACATACTTGAAGTGTATGTTATTCCATTGTCTTTCTTCCTTTCAAAACAATCAAAAACATTGATCTTTTTTTAAACATAAAGCGATTTTTTAATATATAAAGCACTCTTCAAACATCTATTTCTTTTGAGTCCATTATTTGGTAAATATGTAACTGCTACACATTAGATTAGGTATTTTTCTTCTTTCTTACTGTCTTTTTTTTTTTATTTTATTTTGTTTTTTAATAATATCTTCAGTGCTAGGAGTTGGGTTTTAAAAATACATGAAATGGTGTGGAGTTGCTCCTCGGGAAACCCGGCTTTCCTGAGACATCTTCCACCATGTGCAAGATAGTGATCACAAAGTTTTCGCCACTTTGACGAAGAGGAGGAAAACAACAACAAAAATAGTACACAGCAATGGCCAAAGAAAAGGATAATACAACAACACTGTTCAATCCCAGAGCTCTGAAGTAGCATATCTTCATTCTGAAAATAGTTTTCTTTACGATGGAAGTCTTTTTTTTTGTTTTGTTTTTTCTCTTTTTTTTTTTTTTAATTTTTTTAATTCCTTTTTTTATTTTAAAGTTTGAAGGAGAAAAAAAGGTCTGTAAACAGGTGGGAGCCAAAACTCCTGGCTCCTCCAAAAGCAGTCAAAACTTATGTCCAAGTGCTTGTTTCTGTTCCTGCTTGCAAGGGAACTATCAACTCTTTACAATTATCTATGGCCACAGTTCAACAAGAGTATTTTTTTTTTAAACTTTATATTCCGAATGGAAAAATGGTGCAATACTCCGGTAATAATTTTCTTGCATTAGTCCACAATAAAAAGCCGCTAAAGGTAGATATACATATTATTCTCCAGAGATACACACTGTAATTTTAAAATGCAATAAGAGTCCTTGAGTAAACATTTACACGTGAATTGTCGCCGGCCCCTTCTATCAGTTTCTTTCCTTTTTTTTTTATATTTCCTTTTTTTTTTCTTTTTTTGATTTTGTGTGTTTTTACCATTACAGGATTAGCTACAAGAAGGGCTGCGGACACTCAGTGCAAAGTTAGAAGCTAATAACAATTAAACATTTGACCAATGAGCAAATAAAAAGCATATACTGAACCAAAGGAAAAAACTTCACACGTTGAGTTAAACCACACGTGGGCACACGCGCACACAGGCACACACACACACACACACACACTCACATCTGTCCCAACAAAAACATAGTCTGAACTTTTAAAAAACAAAATTCTTAGAGCCTGTTTTTTGTGTACTGATGCTGACCTGGAAGTGTAATAATTCAACTCAGAAAGTGTTCACATTTTGTTATTGGCCTGCTGGATTCAAGTATTTGCATGTTGATATGGTTTGTTGCTTTTTTTTTTTTTAAAGTATTTTTTTTTCTTTCTTTGTTGATTTTTTTTTATTCTTTTTTTTTTTACTTTTTATAATTTTTGGGATTAAAAAAATGACATGAAAAAGTAATGAAACAAGGGTAATGTGCATAGGCAGATCCATGGGAGTAGTGGACACAGAGATACCCCAACCCTGCCCTCCCTCCCCCCCTCTCAACCTGTACAGTCCAGAGTTGCCACTGGGAATCGTCACTTTTCTGTACCAATGGTAAAATATCACACTTCACCCTTTCTGATTATTGGGTCCGCCTCTGTAATGTGCATAATAGTCACAGGCTCATTTAAATAGGCTTTCATTTCCCCTTCCCACCCCCCCCCAAGTTGATAAAATAACCCTTTCCAGCCCAAATTCTGAAAAGTGCCCTTCATGATAGACCTATTCTAAGCAGCTTTTATACTTGGTTTTGAAAAATCACCATACAAACATAAAAAGACGACATAAAACAAAACAAAACAAAAAAGCCATGAAAAAAGTAAAACCTGTCATTAGCATGTGACACTGACCAAAGGAGCCCATACTGTTTCAGGAACAGTTCACAAGGACTTCTGCAGTTTCAGATTCAATATTGGACAGAGGTACTAAGGAGGGCTGCCAGTCTCATGGGTTAAAGCTGGATTCTTCATCAAGCCCGGGACTGGAAAGGGTTACCATTTTTGAATTTTTTTTTAATTTTTTTTTTTTTTATTTTAAATTCTCTGTTCTCCTTTAGTGCTGATGATTGTTACTTCCACCGTGTCTCCTAGATGGACTCGCCGCTGAGCAGATCCCCCGGCAGGAGGGTGTTGAGGGGCGTGGGGCTCCCGATGACCCTTCCGTCGTCGGCGCTGGGGGGTCCCCAAAGGCTGCTGGAGTACTGGGGCACCCCCCCCCAGAGCAGGTCGCTGCTGCCCTTGCCCCCCAGGCACGGGGGGTTCCAGTGGCCGGCGTCGGGGCGCACCAGCCCGTGCGAGCTGCCCGAGGAGCCCAGGCGGCCGGGCGTGGATCCAGTGTTGGACTGCCAGCTGGAGGTGGGCGGCAGCGCCTGCCCCTGCGCCAGGAACCGGTTCACCTCCTCCTCACCTGCAAACTCCGCCAGGATGGTGGTGTTGCCCAGGACACACCTGAGGGACAGCAAGGTGGGAGTGTTGTTGCAGATTGCAATGCAAGATGTTTTCTATTGCCAGCTGTATGGCAGATTAGCTTTTGTCAAGTGGGCAGTTTGCCTTATCTCTCTCTTTGAGTGACCACAATCACATCTCCTTCTATTGATAACAGCTATTGAATGTCACTGCATGGCTGATAAGAACTACAGCATCCCATTGGGAGATGGGAGCCCAGAGGGAGGAGCCAAGCATTGCTACACAGATATAATCTGGAGATTCTGGAACATCAGCACAGCTTCTCCACTGGATTCCCCAGAGGAACAGCAGCTGCCTCTTCTTCCATTTGATCTTCAGAGGAAGAATACATCCTTCTCTACAGAACCTACAGAACCCCCTTGCTCCAGCAGAACCACCCCTGACACTGCAGGAGGGCTGAGCCACAATTCCAATGGGACTGCTGCCAACACCCTGACCCACAGGGTGTCAGGTTGTGTTCTGACTCTGGCAGTGTTGTTCTAGTGTACTGCATTGTTGATTTTATCCTTTTATTTTTTTTCTTCCCTAGATTTCCTGCTCCCATATTTTTTGCCCGAGAGCCCCTTAATTTAAAATTTATAGCAATTCAGAGGGGTGGGGAGAGGGTTTACATTTTCCATTTCAGGGGAAGCTCCTGCCTTCCTTAGCAGGCTCCTGTCTTTCCAAACCAAGACAGGTTAAAGCGTGCTTTCTGTCAGGAATGTCAGAGGGAATTGGGATTGGTGCTTGTTATTGTTTATTTAGGGGGGATGTTGGTAGTGTTTGTTTATTCAGCTTTGGTGGTGGTGGATCCTTACCCAGAAGCCTGGGCTAACTGGGGTGTTGTTGGTTATGGCCTTGGGATAGGGTTGGTTGTGGTTGGAATAGGGTTATGTCCTTATGGCCTTGGGATAGGGTTCGTGGTGATGGTGGGGCTTGCTATAGGGGATGTCTCCAGAACCTTCCTTACTCCTCCTTCCATTAAATGTCAATCCCTCCCAGAACCTGCCTTTCCCTATAGAAACTTCCCTGTCAGTTTTGTATCCTTTGAAATCCCATTAGTTCCCTCGAGCTTTTCTCGTCCCTTGAAATCCTCCACATGGTATTCCCTGCCTTGTGTTCCACCCCAGTTCTCAGACTGGTTAAAGATTGTATCCTCCCCTGAGACCTCCCCTGTTTATAAGCAGTTGTCTGCCCTTGGTTCAGGGTCCTGAGACCCTGGACTTGGGGAGTTTTGCCATTGACTAAAGTTACCTCAGTTCTGCTGCATTTTTGATTCTACAGAGCTCGAAAAGGGGATCTGTCACACCCCTGATATCACCTAGCTGGGACTTAGGGTGCAGCAAGACAATTATTTATGCTGAATGAAATTTTCTAACACCCTCTTATTCAGTATCTACCCCCAGTTCACTTTTTCCTCTCTCATTAGGTAATCTTGAAATCCAAGACGGAATTAACTAGTGATCGGTTACGCCTAAGAAAATCTTTTCTGGCTTGTAATCAAAGAAAGATGGAGCAGGAACTTACATGTGCAGAGACTTCTGGGCCTTGGCTGCTTCCTCCTTGGAACTGTATCGGACCACAGCATTGCCTTGGGTCAGGTTCAAGTGGAATGTGATGAGGGGGCCGTGCTGCAGACACAGCGTGCGCAGCGTGGAGCCATCGATCTGCAGGGACAGGGCACAAAGGTTACAGCTGCTCCTGCCTTCCCTTCTGCTCCTCTTAAGAGGGGATTGAAGGGTTTCAGATGGTCTTTTGTGTTTACACTTGTATGTTTATTTTTATCCGTATTTATTATTATTATTTGTCCACATTTATTTATTTATTCTTATCATCCATATTATTATTGTTATCCATATTATACCTTGTGAGTTCTATAGGATTTTACTAATAAGTTAAAAATGGTTAACTATTTTTCTAGATAAGGTTTTCTAAGGCTAAATTATCTAATTAAGAAATGATACCTAAATTATTTTTACTTTTAACTCAATAACTAATCCTTCCAAGTCCACAATGTGAACTTTTCTATCTAATTACAAAATATTACCCAAAACTATGGAGAAGAAGAAGGATTAGTTACTATCCTAAAACTTCTATTTTATTTTATATTACCCAAAACTATGGAGAAGAAGGTGCCGAAGAAGCATTAGTTACTATCCTAAAACTTCTATTTTGTTATATATATATATTGCTATTTTAATAAGTTTTTAAACTCTAAGTTTTTAACTTTAGATTTTATTGTTTAACATTGTTGAAGTTTTATTGTTTAATAAACAAGTTTTTTTCCACTTTCCTACAAAGAAGTATTTCCTCCCGAACTGGTGATATTTCACACTTCTAATTAAACTACACACTCATAATCCCTGAGCTATTAATTAATTTTTGAAGCTTTTTTTATGGCTTCAGGTTAAATGTAGTATTTTCTAGTGGGTTTGTGCCTTTTAGTACAGAAGGCTTAAAATTCCTAGCATCCAGGATTCCAACAGGTTACTTGTGGTATTGTCATTTTACCTTATATGCTTAATTAACAAGTATTTAAAAGCTAAAGAGAGAGTACAAGTGAAAGTAAAGTACTTAATTGCACACTTATTGCTCTCTTCACTGAGGGAGACATTCTGATTTTTTAAGAATTCCCTACAGTCCAGGGCACAAATTTTCTCAATTTAGGTTATACAAATTATATTTATCATTAGACATCTATAGAAATCCAGACATAAGTCAAAGGGAAAACACACTTCATAAATGTAATTAAATTTTTCCCAAGGTTAATTTGGATGTCTGCATCCAAGGCTTTGTGGCTTATGTTCTCCCTTTGGAATGACACCATGAAGGACAAGTAGAGGATGTGACAGACACATGAGAAGAACCCAAAAAACCCATAGGAAAATCAGATTTTACATCTCTGTCTGTGCTTTACAACATCATTCACCTCCAAAGTTACACACAGAGAAATGGTGCCCACTGAATGACTAATTACAGGCTTGAAAATTCATACTTGATTTGACAGCACTTTGAAAACTTAACAAATTCTTTGTAGAAGACAGGTGATAAATGCAGAATAATTATTCTTCTTTCAAATGAATCAAATGGCCAAGGCTGCTAGATGTTATTCTCATTATCTCTTATATTGCAGTGTTTTTTCCTGGCCAGTTTTGCAGAGTTGCAGTTACCTGGGGGGTGAGGTTCCGAAGAACCAGCCAGCTGCTTGTTCTCCCTGAGCTGTCAGTACTCCATGCAGAACCTGCAACACAAATCCCACAACAAAACACTTGATCAAGGTCTCTGGAGAGCACCTTACAGGCAAATTTATCTGGAATCACAACAGACTAACAAGCCTCAGTGCTGCTGAAAACAAATCCTACAGCAGTTTCCTCACATCGTGATTTACTGCCTCCCTTGGAAGGAAAGGCTGCTGAATGAAAAGCTGCTCTTGTTACTTTTCAAAGATCTGTGGCATTTTTCATACTCCCACAGTAAATATTAGGGAACTAACAGATGCAGGTATGGCACTGCAACAAGCTGGATCCTCAGGATGCATTACAATTAATCTGGAAGACACATTTTAAAAGCAGTTCTGATGTCCAGGCTCAGATTGCTGCCTGCTAATAAAGATTTTTATAGCACTGCAGCACTCTGCTCTCTTGTCAATGACAGATTAATGTGTATGACTTATTCAAAACAGATATTTCTGCACTGACAATGTCCTGATTGAAGATACAAGAACATAACCAAAAAAACCTGCCCTAACAAACCTCAGCCTGGTGCTTTACAGTAAGAAGCCGTACAAGCTTGATATTTATGAGAGGCATTTGAGAGTCAAAGTGCATCCTGTGGGTGCTCCAGAAAGAATCCTGGAGCTTTATCTGACCTTCCAGGTGGGGGTTTGGTGAAGAAATATTCAAAATAAATGGCAGGAATAGGGAAGAACATTTAATTCTCAACTAAGTGTAAGCAGATTATTAAAAGAGCTTTATAAAATAAAAGTAATATCTGCATATATATCTATATTTATATCAACAGAGATATCTAAATACAGATATACATATTTAGCCAGATCCGTGGCTTCTCAAATTAATATTAAAGCAAACAAAGGCATATAAAAAAAGGGGCCAGTATGAAAAAATTTAGGCATTCCCTGAGGGCCCTGCAATGCCATCAGGTCCTAAATGCTTCACATCCATGTGTTCCATATTAAATTCCACAGGCTCCACTTGGAGTCTTAGATCACACCACAGAACAGGACACATGATTGAAAGACATTTTTAGAAATTAAGGAACTGGGAGGAAAAAAAAATCCTAGTTGAGAGTTCAAGAAATTGGGCAATTCCTATGTAACATCACCACCATGACCAGTTGAAAGGTGCTTCATTTACAACTCATTCAAAGTGAAATAAAGAGACAAGAGATGCATCCCCAGCACAGAACACTCCAGCTGTGTCAAAGCTCTGGTTTCTGGAGCCTCACAGGCAGAGCAGAAGCAAACAATGCTGAAAAGAAAAGCAGAAAAAGGAGCTGTGAGTACCAGAGGAGTAAGAAGAGCTGGTCCAGCCCAGGGGACTGGCACCCCACGTGGAGGATGGCTTGGTGTTGGTTAGGCCTGGAGGAGGTCTGGTTGGAGCTGTAGTGTTTCTGGGTACCTTCCAGAGTTCGTGGGACAGAGAGGCTTGGGTGTGAGAGATTGGGCCAGAGGACCACGTGGACTTGATGTCTGACAGTTTACCTGCAACAGAAAAACATTCTGGCGTACATTGGGGTGTTCTTCACCAATGGGCATCCTGGGCTACATCCTCCCAGCTTCTCAGGAGGAAAATATCAACTTTCTGTACCATTCAGTGCTATAAATCCTGTATTTTTTGAACCTACTTAAACCACTGTTCACCATTTCCAGTACTTTTGTGTTTACTGAGCCTCACACTACCTGCTGCATATAAGATCCCTTTTGAAAAACTATTGTTTTGTTTTCTTGTAAAAGATGATACATGGAAACAAGTCCAGAAAATGAATGTAGGTATTTGAAACCTGATTTCACCAAAATTATAATGAAACACTTCAAGATTGTCTCTCTCAAAGGTTTAACAGGACTTAAACACTTTTTCTTGCACAACTCATTTTACCTAATATAAAGAATTCAGTATATCTATATGTTCTGCTGATGCATTATTAAAATTCTAAAGATCAAAGACCAACAAAAACTTTATTTCTGAATATCTGAAGTAACCTATATTCTTTTTTCCAAGTATTTTTGAGAAAAACTAAGTCTTCAGAAGATCAGAGCACACCACAGCCCTTCAGTCTTTATAACTTTCTGTTGTGCTTGTACTTTCCCTGATCAGTTTTCAAACTCTTACTGCTGTAACTGCCAATTCAAAGTTTTATAAAATAACACAAACCCAACAACAGCAGACACATTGCAGCATTCAGAGGGGCAGACTGGATTGATTTAAATAATAGATAACAAAACCAATCTTTATTCACCTTTAGCCTTTCCTCCTGATACCAACATGTGCTGTGCAATCAGAGCCCAATTTCCCTGTCACAGCCCAGTCCTGCTGTTACCAGCACTGGCAGCACATGGAGGACTGGAATGGATTGAAAGGGACACAAATCCTGCATCTTCTGCCCCAGCAAATGATGCTGTGACTGTGCTGCCCCAATGTTTTAATGCTGATTGCACAGAATAAGAAAATATTTGGTCTGATAAAGTCCAAGATGCAAAGATCTTGTGAATTTTTATAAAACTAGAACTGGCAGTTTTAATTTTCACTGCTTAAGACATCAGGCAGGCACTGAGTAATTTTATGAGTCCCAAAGCCAAATTTACCAGTTGCAAAATCCCAGGCTCAGTTACACACACACACACATTCCCCAAATTGCCTCCATTTATCTCAATCGTTTAACTCAATTATTTCATATTGAATCATAACAATTTAAGTGAAAGGGCAACCACTCTCCCATCTTCTGGCAAATTGTAGCAACAAAAATAATTTGACAATGACAATGAGGACATCAATGAGTGTAAAATGGTGAGAGGGGAGGAGAAAGTCTGAGTTTGAGAGGTCAGAGCAGCCCCCAAGACTGGCACAGCACCACAGGCCAGGTGTTGCTATGTCACTACTTCTCATGGGGGTAACACAAACATTAGATGACACTGCAAAAACAACAACAAAAAAAGGCAGCAAATAAAGCAGAAATGCATGGCAGATAAAGAAAAGCAAGCCACTCCTTTCTTTTCCTTTCACTGGAGGAAAACATCCCAAACCATTCCTTTTTGTTTTGCATTCTGCAGTCTGACCCAGAGGCTGCACCCTCAGAGAAGTGGAGGGGCTTCAGTGGATCAGCATTTTCTTATCTAATCCATCTATACAGCACAACTTTATAATGGGACAAAATGCATATTTAGGCAGCCAGTTTGCAAGCAAAGTTTCCATGTTTTGCAAAAAGGAGCTCCAGAATTTGGAGCTCAGTAAAGAAAATGGGGTAATCATTTAGCTCACCCATATAGGGGAGCATCAGGCTTTGGCCTGATTACTAAAAGGCACTGAAGAAAAGGAAATTATTTAGCTCACCCATATAGGGGAGCATCAGGCTTTGGCCTGACTATCAGAAGACATTGCAGAGCCCCAAACCCAACCCCCAGAGCCATGACAAAAGTACCCCTTGGAGGTACTACTGAAACTGAGGTGTTTCACTTTTAACAGTGAATATTTTCACACAAATTTCACATCAGCTCTTCCAGGAAGGGTCTGTTCCTGCTGAGGCCCTGGGCAGTGTTCCTCCCCCAAAGATCTTGATGCCAGAGTGACACCAAGTGGGAATAAATCCCTTTTTCCTCAGCACAATCCCAGGCTCACCATCCACCACTCCCCACCGCAGAGCTGCCAGGAGAGCTGCCACCCAGCACAGGGCTCCAAACTCACTTCTGCCTGGGGCAGCACTCCTGTCAGCACTGGAAAAGCACTCCCTAGGGGCTTTTCCTGGGAATGCAGAAGCTGTGGAAGCAGAAAGGCCGTACCTGCAATGCTAGGTGCAGATGCAATGCTGCTGAAAGAGCTACTGTAGCCGGAGGCACTAAGCGGCCAGGCACTCGATGAAGGCAGCGTGGCATTCTGAGATGATGTTGGGGATGACCCTGCAGAACCAGCAGAGAAGCAACTAAGAAAGATGAGCATAATGATGTTTGATGTGACATAAGCAAATCTGTTATGTGCAAATACAAACCATGCAAGGAATTCTCCTTAATTAGCCTGGTCTCTGAAGTGTAGGAATGAAATGTTGCTGGAAGCGTGATTAAGTAGAAGGAAAGAGAAGCAAGCTGGCACAGGAACAATTCTAGTGCAGAAGGTAAATTCTGCATTTCCTTTAAGATACATGACTCAAAAAGTCAGTGTTAAAGTGTTTAGTCTCAGAGGAACAGGCTTCATTTATAAATGTCCTCTGCCAGCTGACTTAGTCAATGGGAAGTGTAGATGAGCAGAGATGTGTATGATAAATTAACCTCTTACCATGGGTGATCTGTCCTAAATTACTCAAGGTAAACACTTCCCCTACATCCTAATGCCCACAAGTATCTTTAAATTTTTGCAGACTTTCAGTAAAAGCAAAGATATATTTCAGCAATCTCTTCTCAAACTGATAACATAAATGAAATAGCACAAAACCACCTCAGTAAATCATTGATAATCTGAGCAGCTATCTAAGCACATGCACAGTTTCCTTACTGGCAGCAAATGAAAGAAACTGAACATAAAATCAAAAATCTTCATTGCAAAGACCAGGAGAGCTGGAGCTATTCTCTCTAGCCACCAACAAAATCAAGTGTGTATCCTGGGTGAGTTATCATTCCTGACACACAGAGATGGGCTGTGATACTGAAACATCTTTAACTGACTAATAAAAATAGGTGAGCTCTGAAGCAAAGAGCACTGTGTTGAGGTAGAAGGGAAGAAGTAAAAGGACAATCTCATCCCTCACAGCTCAATTAAAAACACAGCTTTGTTTGTAGTTGGAACAGCAAGCAACCAAACTTCACCTTAACCAGACTCTCTGTGCTCCAAGGGACACTGATGCAGACATCAGTTTAAGGCAACAGAACTCTGTATCAAACCCTGTCTGGAAATAATCTATTACCAGGCAGGAACTATGGAATTATAGCAGATTCAAAGGCTCACAGAGCTGAAAATGGTCCTGATTTCTCGTGGTTACAACGCTCAGCTCATAGAAGCTGACCTTCCAAAGTTTTACTAGCAAACAGGGCAAAGCAAAAATCAACCCAAAAGCTGAAGTTTTACCTGTTTTTAAGTGCACAGGGCAAGGACAGCCCACCCCACAGCCTGACCCTCTATCTGAGGAGCAGCTCTGTCAACACAAGCTCTGTGCTTCAGGCTGCAGTTATACAAGCATAAAGAAACAGACTCTGCAACTATAGTTCTTACTAAAATTCTATTCTTACCAAGCTAAAAAGCTTATGAGGAAAAGAAGCACACACTGACCCCCCAGAGGCACTGGTTTTAAGGTCTGACCTCTTGAGGGCCCGTTTACTTCTGCTAAGACCATCTTTGTTGACTCTGTCTAATGAGAGGAGCTATTTCTTCAATCCACAGGCAGATTATGCACCCACAGAGCTCATGTTCCTTCTCTAAAACAGCAAGACCTGTAGTGGATATCATCTGATTTTACAGGGAGAGCTCTGCAGGTTTAGGTTTCTGGCCTGAGGAGTATTTCTTGGGTGAACTCTATTTGAAGTGTCACTGAATTAAACATTTTACAGCTCTTCTTTTTATAACTTCAAACCTGTCTGTCCCCTCGGAAGCACTTTGGAGTCATTTAAGTTAATTCAACCTTACTCATTACCCAAATACTTCATGTTTCAGCTGAAAGAAAGGCTGCTTCTTGCTAAGAGACAACCAAAATCAACACTTTGCATTCCTTTCCCTCATGTTTCACAGCCCTTACCTGAGGTAACAAGCCCAGAGCTGGACCCCCACTTCAAGAGGGTCACAGATTTACAATCTGGGCTGGTATCACAGATGTAACTGTTAGAATAAACCCCACATTTTTACTCCTGACAGGTCCTTCTGGACAGCCTGGTTATGCTATTCCTGTGCCAACTGCAGTGCCCTGACAGAATGCAGATAACTTGGCTATTTTGGCACTCAGATCACAATTAACCAAGCCACCTTTCCCTTGATCAACTTCTAGCACATGTGGCTAACAAGTAGCACAGTCACAATGCTTTCTTGTTTTACAGAATTGCCTTTTTATTCTGAAGCAAGCATTGCCAAGACAAAAGGAATGGAAACAGTACTGGGAAATACTAGTTTACTAGTCAATTCCCAATTTTTTCTTTTATGGTTTTGGAGATAAACCAATTCTAACTTATTTTACTTATTGATCTTCTAACAAATCTACAATTAATTAATGTACCAGAAGCCTGCTGTCTCAGCAACAACTGTGGAACTTTGTATTGAGTCTTCTGAGAATTTCACTAAGTATGGAGGAGGGTGGGCATTGTGGAGAGCAAAATATTGTTCAAAACCTTGTGATACAGGTCAGAAAAACTTCCAGTGACCACAGAAGTTTAAATTACATCTCACAGCTTTTTCCAATATAAAAGCATTAACATTCCCATGGAAAACAAGAAACTTCTTAATCCCTTCTTTTAAAACAATTATTTCTGGATATTCAGTGACAGTTCTGAGCAGAAGCATTATTAGATTAGGAGCACATGCAAAAAATATGTTCATCTGTAACAAATGAGGCCAATCCTTTTTTGGAAGGGGAAAGAAATGATGCAGAGATGTGGAAGCAGTTTGTTGTTTACCTCCACTCTTGAGCAGATAGCGATTCACATCCTGGATCGTGGTGTTTATGGTAGGCCCAGTTGGAACACTGCCAGGAGTAACATCAGGGTCATTTTCAGGATCAATATTCTGCAGTCCTTTCCATGGCACTCCTGGGTGAAACTCTGTTTCAAACACAATAAAAAGGGAAATGTGTCAGGTTGCAATTCTCCAAAGCTCCTGTGTTGTATTTACAGGGTGCCCTGATGAAGGGAGGAATGATGAATCTGACTCCATGACCTCAGAAGGCCAATTTATTATTCTATAATACTATATTATATTAAAGAATACTACACTAAAGAATACAGAAAGAATGCTTACTGAATGCTAAAAAGATAATAATGAAAACTTGTGACTCTTTCCAGAGTCCTGACAGAGCTTGGAACTAATTGGCCAATGAGTCAAAACAACTCACACTGGAGTCCAATGAAACAACCTCCAAACTCATTCCAAGTAAACACTATTTAAAATACTGAAGAATACAGAAAAGATACTTTTATAAGTATAAAGATTTAGTATATATTTTTAGTATAAGATACACTAAAAGGATAATAATGAAAACTCCTGATTCTCTCCAGAGTCCTGACACAGCTTGGCCCTGATTGGCCAAAGAGTGAAAACAACTCACAGCAGAATCCAATGAAACAATCACCTGTGGGTAAACAATCTCCAGACACATTCCAGACAAGGAAAACACACAGAAGCAAATGAGATAAGAATTGTTTTCCTTTCCTCTGAGGCTTCTCAGCTTCCCAGGAGAAACTCCTGGGTGAAGGGATTTTTCAGAGAATGTGAGTGCCACACTCCTGCGCATCGGGAGGACTCAACAACACGTTTGAGGGACAGCAGCCCAACAGCAAGGCTTTGGATTGAGTTACCTGGTGGCCAGTTTATGCTGGAGCCATTGGAAATCTTATCACTATCGGATTTGGCACGTGACCAGCTGTGAGGAACAGCTACAGGTGGGCTGGCAGGAGACTCACTGTTCTGCATCAGATCATAGCGGCCATAGGAGTCATCGAGGGAGGACTTGCCCGGAGGACCAATGCTCAAACCTCCAGGGATAGCACCTGCAAGGAGCCAAACAGAGGTTGTAGGATGGAATTTCAGCAGGATATATTTTGTTATTATTTGCCTTTTTTTGTATAACAAAGATAAAAAGAAAACTAAAATGCAAACACAGTAAGCCAAGCTTAATGGCATCTGAAGCCTTAGCAGGAAGCACAGTTGAGAGACACATTGCTGGTACAATCTAGATACTCAAGTTAAAGATTTCTGCATTAAATTCCTGCCAAAAAGAGACTAACTAATTCAAATCATCACTCTGTTGGTAAATAGGAACTTGCTGAGGCAGCATACCAAGGAACATCCCTCATCTCATCCTTCCCCAAGCATTCAGTGCTGACAGGATGGATGATTTGAAATGGCTGCTCTCATGTTCCTACAAACTATCAAACAACAATTTGGCATCAGCAGTGCAGCTTCTTGCAGAATAAAAAACTGCTGTAAAAGAAGTAATTCATGCTGCTCAGAATAAAATCCAGGATATAACAAAGTTAACAGAGCCCCATGTTCTAACAGAATAGATTTGATACAGGAAATAAAGGAATAACTGGCTCAGGATACTGGAGGTGTTAAGGATAAAGGTATTCAAACAGATTAGCAATCACTTCTGGAAAAGTAAGAAGTTTTTACCCCTAATTCTAGGGTGAGTAACTATGTAATCCATCATACTTTGCACAAGGAAAGGTTGATGATACTGGAAAAATTGTGGGAGAAAGCCAATGTAAATTTTTTCTGGATTAAAGGTATGCAGGTCTGGAATAAGGGGAAGATTGTGGGACTTGTTTTGCCAACACTAAAGGCTTGTTTTATTTGAACTCCATGTTCTCATTCAACACATGAAAAATACATTCCTACACTGCATGCAGGGAGTGACAGCTGCAAGCCTTTCACTGCAGAAATCATCTATAAAATCTCACAGGCTCAGAAGCTACCAACCTTTTGTGAGCACTTACACAAAAAAGAAACACAAGAGAAATAATTGCAATTGCACTGTGGCTGGAATCACCAAAAGCCAGGCAGGCAGGGGGACATGGGGGGGACAACGGCAGGGGACATTACCGTGCTTGCTGGAGTTCTGGTCAAGAGAAGAAGCAGCACTAGACAGATTATCCATTGAGTTGGGGTGTGTCCACTGAGGAAGGCGAGACTGGGACTGAGAAGTGTCCTTCACTGACAAACCACCAGTAATGTCCATGTTATTTACATTCATGTTCGGGTTCAGTCCAGCTGGGAAGGGAAAGAGATCCTTAGAAATCCATCAGACACTGAGGGATTGAAAAGCTGGGTTTTAAATCCAGCCACAACATTGATTTTCAGGTATCTGTATGCATATGTGGCATTTTCAAGGCACATTTTCAAGAATTTTTGCTTTTATGGAACACCAATTGAACTCCCATGAATTCAGAAAAAGTTAAAACCTTGCTAAAAAGAGGGGGAAACAACATGCAAGGCTAATATTTTAAAGCTGTCAGTGTTTCTACTTGCAGTCTCTTCACTTGTCTCAGAAGAATGTACTGGAATGTTGAGTTTAAACCAGTCTGCACCATTCCATGGCTAAGTCAAAATATTCCTAATGTCTCCCCAGCATCCCACAATGTCTGCCACTTCATTTTGCTAAAAATCCCCCAAAAAAGGAACTAATTAAAGGTCAGAAAAACAGCTGCTGCTTTTCATAGCAGGTTCTGCACTAACTGGTTTCTATTTTGTATACACAGAAGAGAATCACTCAGACTGTTATTAAGGGAATAATTTTGAAATGCTTCTGTGACATGAATCTGGGTCTTTCTTGATATATAATCCTGAATGTTAGCAGATCACAGAAAGCTGAGATATCATAAGAACCTCTCAGACTTAGGCCTTTAATTCACAAATTGTTTTGCATTCTGATGCTGCCAGGCACAACAGCTCACCACAGCAGTCAGAATTACCTTCTTAACTGCTGCATGGCAGATAAAGCTTGGCAATGCTATTGTATTCAGCATAAAGAGAGTCACAAAGAGATTAAATTAATTCCTTTATGTCAGAAAGGAAGTCTGTAGCATACATCAAACAATAACACAGCAAACAGGTCTGAAAGGTTGCTCTCCTCCCTCTGTATCCAGGCCCAATCAATTATTTTGCCTTCAATCATATTTGACAGATCTATGTCTAATCTACCACAAAATGCTGGTGAAGATTTCAGGAGCTTCCTAGATCATTTATTCCAGTACTCTACTCAAGCCAAGTGATCCTTAATGTCTAGATCTTTTAATAAACTTAAGTTTATTACCTCTTGCATTAGGAAATGCAAAAAAAGTCTTCCTAGCTCTCCTTTACATTTTCGAAGATTCTTAAATCTTCTCTTTAGACTTCTGAGCAGAGGAATTTATTTTTTCCTTACCAGTTGTGTTTTTGAAATGCTTCATCACCTCCACTACAATCTTTCTGCATTTCTTCAAACTGATCCACGTATTTCTTGAAATACATTGACCAAAACTGATCCCTCACCAGTGCTGACTACAGCAGAAAGATTACTTTGCACAACATTTTCCTAGATGATATTCCTGTTTATCAATATGACATTTGTATATTTTACAGCATGATGCTGTTTATATTCAGTTCATAAATAGCAACATAGGGCATGGGTTGGACTCTATGATCTTAGAGGTCTCTTCCAACCTCATTATTCTGTGATATATAAGTAGTTAATTAGGAAAATATTCTGATATTTGTAGGCAGAACACAGGTGAGCAGGTACAGCTACCATAAAGGCATGATTTTGTTCTGTGATTTCAGTGCTATTTAATTTTAAAAAAACCAAACACACATATATGTATATATAAAAATTATAATTACATATATATTTCTCTCTCTCCATATATCTATATATATCTCTATCTATATATTTTATGTGTATATATATATATCTGTTCTATACCTATACATCTATATATCTATCTAAATATCTATATCTATTTATATATATACATATACATATATATACACATATTTACATATATATATACACACATATCTATACATATATATAGATATATATATAGAGAGATATATAAATACATATAGATATATGAATTTGTTACAGTGTGGAGCAAAATATTGAGGTGTAAATTGAGGAGATGCCTATACATCTATACATCTATATACCTACCTAAATATCTGTATCTATATCTATCTATCTATATATATATAGATAGAGAGAGAGAGACATATAAACATATAGATGTAGAGATATGTATTTGTTACAGTGTGGAGCAAAATATTGAGGTGTAAATTGAGGAGATGGCTATACATCTACATATCTATATATCTATCTGAATATCTATGTCTATATCTATATCTATCTATCTATTTATCTATCTATATATATATAGAGAGAGAGAGACATATAAACATATAGAGATAAGTATTTGTCATAGTTTGGAGCAAAATATTGAGGTGTAAATTGAGGAGATGGCTATACATCTACATATCTATATATCTATCTAAATATCTATGTCTATATCTATATCTATCTATCTATATATATATATAGAGAGAGACATATAAACATATAGATATAGAGATATGTATTTGTCACAGTTTGGAGGAAAATATTGAGGTGTGACTGGAGGAGCTGGGCTCCCTGTGAGGAGCTGCTGCAGGAGGAACTCACCAAGAGGGTAAGGAGCAAAGGTGTTCGGTGAAGACTGTTGCTCTTTGGTCTGCAGGTCAGGAAGGCCGGGAGCCTGGGGATGGGGTGAAAAGCTATCCATGGCTGATTTGCCTGCAGAGGGGTGCAAAGATAGATGTGGAGGGGGAGGCTGCTGCTTCATAAGCAGGGCCTGGGCCAGCTGGCGCTGGTGCTGCTGGATCTGCTGCTGCATGTTATTGATTGTACGTGCAACCTGCAGGGAGAGAGCCAACAAACAGCTGTCAGTGGGCAATCCCCACACACACACTGCACTTCTCTGCCTTTCCCTACAGTGAGACAACACACTGCACCTCCTTACAAACTGCCTGTGCAAAGGGCTGGAGAGCTTTCCTCCAGCAAGGCTGTGGATCAGCCTGATTTTTGATTTTATTGTACTCAGCACCCTCCCTGCCCAGCATTCAAGCCTTGCACTGCATCCCAGATTGAAGGATGCTTGATTGAGCTGTTTTGCTGTAACAACAAACACTCTGCCTTTCTCTACAGTGAAACAACACACTGCATCTCCTTACAAATACAAACTGCCTGTGCAAAGGGCTGGAGAGCTTTCCTCCAGCAAGGCTGTGGAACAGCTTTATTTTTTATTTTGTTTTTACCCAGCACCTTCCCTGCCCAGCACTCAAGGCACGCACTGCATCCCTGATTTAAGGATGCTTGAGCTGCTTTGCTGTAATGTCCCTGAGCTTCTCCAAGCTACTGAAACCAACCCCTGAAGCAGAGATTGAGCTGGCAGGGACACCTACTTGCTGCTCCTGTTGTCTCATGGGTCCGGAAACGTTACGCTGAGCCTGTAACATCTGCTGCTGGATTTGTAAACGTTGGTACGCCTGTGGGGACAGGGACAGTCAGACACAGCACCCTCAGCACGCTCCCTCCAGCTGCTCTGCTGCACCACAGCTCAGAAAAGGCCAGCTCTGCAGTGCTCTGAAAACACTCCAGCAAGTAACAGTAATAATCCTGCATTTTAGAGTGCATTTATTCAAGTCTCATGTTATTTTTAAAACAAAAACAACCAATAAATCCACGTGGCAAAAAGTGGTCATTAAAGAGAGGAACCTACTTTTTTTCTGAAATAACTGTAACAAAACAAAAATTAAAATAAAAGTTTATGATATTATACAAATAATACAAATACTGATTGCTGTTTTCAATTTGGCCATTTTAAGTTCTGCCAACAGTTTCTAGTTAAATCAATTGTGCTGCTTTATTCCTGAAAAAAATCCACAATTTTCAAGTAGCTGGCTTGGCAGCTACTTTTGCAAGCAAATTCTTTTGCAAGGTAAGATCCTCTGAAACATCTTGATGAATTCATCAACATTTTGATAAATTCAAACAAAGGAATTCTGTACAGGTATTTTCATGTAGCTGGGTACTTTTCAATTATTATGAGAACAATGCTGTGCTACTCAAAACTAGAGAAAATAATCAGAAATGAGTAATAGTATCAAACACTGAATAAAAGAGTTTGACTAGCACACTGAGATCAGCAATTAAACTAATTTGCCATCTGTAATTTTATTTTTGACCCTGGCCAATACTGAGTTCACAATATCTCTTTTTAAAATATTCTTAAAATCCAATTAACTATTTTCATATGCATTAAAAATACAGATGTAAAATTTGCAAACACAGCAAAAGTACACAGAAGTAAGCAGTTCTTATCACAGGACGTGTTTAATATACACTCCATTAACTAAAGGAAATTCACCCTAAGCTTCATTTTTCAGTGAGGCAAGTGAAGAAGTTCTGTAGGTACCTCAGGTGACCAGCACTGCCAACATTTCTCTTGTCCTGTTGTGACACATGTGCCCAGTTTAATCTTTCCACTGCCATGTAACACACAGGCCAGTGCTGTTTGAGAACACACTGTGTTATTCACACCAGTAGGAAGACAGCTGATTTTTAGTTCCACTGATCAGCTGTAAAGCATAATTATTCCACAAATGACTATTTATAAAGCCTGAGGCAAAAAAAAAATTACTGTGCTTCTTTAAAAAGAAACTTTAGCAAAGAAAGAAATCAGCAGCTGATTGTTTTGAAGATCTGTCATGTCATTTAAAAATTTAGTCATTCTCCTATTTTATCTTCATGCCTTTAATTCTGATTTAGAGCTTATCTGCCATGTCTTTTAACTTACCAGCTGCAGCTGATAGAGCTGGTTCAACATCGTCATATGCTGAGGATTATTAATTGGCGAGGTTAACTGTGCAGGGCTGAGACCAATGTTTTTTGCTGCAAACTGCAAAAGCTGTGCTTGAACCTAAAGGAGAGAAGAGTGTTAAACATTGTACATTTAATTCTAACAGTGGTAACTGTGTGAGCCATTAATAAGAGTCACATCAGCTGGAAAATGTTATTATCACCATGAACTATCAAAAAAATTAGAAGAGGCTCTAATACAATCATAATAGCTGTAGTCAAGTGTTCATTTATAAAAAAAGAGATGAGAACAAATGCCTCAGAAACACCATTGTGCAAAAAAGAGGGTAAGAGTGTGCTCTCAGAGGTAACTATATGACATGCAAGTGAGAACACTTCAGCCATGCCACATCTCCCTGCCTAGGAAACAAACACATAACACAGACACAGCCAGGCAGCAGCATGACAGAGCACCTGGGAAGAGTTCCAGGGAAAGGGAAAACATGAGTGAGGTGTTGTCTGACCTGAGGGGATAGAAACTGAGGCACTTGAGCACGAAGACTAGGCTGGGATGAATTAAGAGGTTGCACTGGCGGTTGCTGCGGCTGTTGCATGGTCCTGGCTTGTGCTGCTCCGCTATTGCCAAACATACCCAGATTGCCACTCGGTATCTGCAGCAGGACAACAGTGACACAGGCACTTAGTGACACAACCTGGCTGCTACTTGTCTGTGCAGGCTTTATTCTTAGTGATTATGACAGGCAGGAATCAAGAGACCAGCACATACAAAATTTAAAACTAGGCAAGGCAAAGATTGCAAAGATTGGGTATGTGTACCCAACATACCAAACCCCAAAAAAATTTGTACAAAAGGCAGCTGAAGTTGAAGATGGCTTTTATAAGGATTCAGGACCCTAGAGGGTCACAAGGTGAACAATCAAAAGGACTTGCCAAAAATGTTTGTATTTATATAGCAAGGGGCGGGAGAATGGAGGCATTAAACTCGCAGTAACCCCATCTCCAGCTGGCTAAGCAGTTTTTTTACTTAGTCATTTTACAAAGCTACTGATAATGGACATGCTATTAGTGGAGACTGCTTTGGAAAGCTGTGCTTAATGGGCTGTAAGTGCTGGACAAGTATTGCCTTAAGAAAACTGACTTTTAAAGAATATACATAATAAAGAGCCGCAACAGAATGATGAAGATTTTCTGTGTTGTTATTTCATATCTTTGCTGGGACTTCAGTTTGATGGCAAAAAAACCCTTACCATAATCAACAGTACTTAATGGCTTCTCACTCTCATGGGGGTTATGAGTTATCATCCCCTTCATCTCCTGTCCATTTTTTTCCCTCTCACCTGTTCTACACAGGGGCTACAACACCCCCTTAACTCAATGCTCTACCTGACCCAGGTGCTGGAAGCCCAGTTTCTTTCTTATCACCTGTTAAAACCATGAGATGCTTTGACACATGGAGCAGGGATAAAAAAAGCCCCCATGACATCACAGAATATTTATACTAGCCAGGAAAGATGAATTAGAGCAATCTCACTGCCTTACAGTCTAGGAAAATTAGCAATGCCTCAAAAAAAAGAGATTTCTCATCAGTGGAGGCAGAGCCACACCAGGGTTCAGGGGTATAAATCCACAACACTACAGTCTCTTCTGGATGGATATGTGTCATCAGATTACAACTACACTGCTTTTTATGTCCTGTAAGGTGAAACAATTACACAGCAGGCAGCTCCTCTCTGATACTGCACATGAACAAGGCTGTTGCACCTCCAGTTTAAACCCATTTTTCCTGGGGAAGAGGCTGACAGGCACTAGCAGCTACTTCAAGAGAGCCAAATTCCCCTGGGCATCTCCCCCAACAGCCTTACCTGTCTAGAAGAATTCAAGTTTTGCATGCCCAGCCCTGAGGCAATCCCGCCCAGGGTCTGATTAGGGAGTGCACTGTTTGAAAGGGGGAGCTTCAGGCTTGGTGAAGGCAAAAATGGTGAAGTAGTGGGCTCTTCCACTAGGCCGCCATCCTGATTGGAGAAAGAAAGGGTGAGCTGTGTGCATGTCACGAGCCCACAGCACAAACCAGAGTCCCATGGAGACACAGGAGGGTGAGGATGAGTAAAAAGAGATGCATAAAAAAAGGGATGAATGACAGGGAATGGAAAGTATGGAGTGAAGGGAGAAGAAAGAGAGAAACAGGATTAAGGTACTGTTTTTGGTAACTTTGTTGTTCTTAATCCCCCAAATGCACAATCACCCTCACCCACCTTTCCAGAGGAAAGGGATGATTTTAGCAGCTGATGGCAGAGCTATCACGTGGCCATTGCCTCCTCCCCACTTGGGTTTTCTCCTTTCTTCTCCACCAGACTGAAAGGTGGAAGAGGAGAGGCCCAGCACATTTCAGGGAAGCCCCTCTGTCTGTCTGGAAAACTCCAGACATAACCCAACACTTTAACAAACCCAAAACTTGGGAAAGGCCAAATAAGCTTATTTGACACCAGTCTGGATTAGGTTCCACATCATAGCTCTGCTCATAAAAAAGCATTTTTGCATTAATCCCCTTTCCTAACTGAGACACACGAGCCTCTTTTAATATTCACACAGCGCTGAGTTATTAATACCCCACTCTGAAACATTACACTGCAAGGCAGCCCATGAACACAAACCAGCAACCCCACTAATGACAATATCAGCTGGGCAGCCTTCCTGAACATCCCCAGGAGGAGGCAGATTTTAGCAAGGCAGGAGGAGCCCTCTCTGCTAACTGGGCTGTGAGGAACCACAGCTGAGCGTGGATCTGATGCACAGGAGGGGGCAAACAGCAAGGCAGAAAATAAAATAAATTACAGCACCCCCAATCAAACAGGTAGATCTCTCTGCTCGTGTTTCAGTGGGGCACTGAGTTCTATCCCAAACTGTGCTTTGATGTCTGGGAAGCCTGGGGTAAGCATGATCAAATAACACTGTGTACAAAGTAGGGCTCCAAAAAAACAGGCAGAGAAAAAGCTTTGATTTGCAATGTGCTGGGTTGGTGCTTTTCAGGCAGTATGATTATTGTAAGGAAAGGCTTTTTAAAGAGGTGAGGAGCTTTATTTCAACCAATATTCAATGCCCCAGAAAACTGTGAGACACTGGTGAGGCTCCTTTGTTGAAAAAGAAGCCCAGTCTGCTTCCCACATACCCAAACAGATGACCTCATGCAGCAAGAATGCTCAGTGAATTATATGTTTTAAGTTAATCCTGAAAAATGCATTTTCTACAGCTCTCCTTTGATGCAAAGGAAAAGTTTCTTTACTATCAGGCAAAGTGACACTTGACATCCTATCTGACTATCCTGAGGGGGACACTGACATTTTCTAATGATATCCCCAAGGCCTTTCAGCTTGAGATATTTTACATTCTACTGGACATCAGTCACACTCCACAAACAACTGCAGCTTGCATGACAGTAACAGGTTCAAGGATTTCTCTTTAGATCACAGACACATGTTTACAATTCTACCCTTCCCCCTTCAAAGTGAAAATAATTTCAAGCTTGGTGCTCGCTCTCCCCTTCAGATGCCATTGTTCCCTATGTGAACAGACCTACTGACCATGAAAAACCCTCCCTGCCCCCAAAATTTATTCAAGTCCTGCCTTGCTGACATTATTTTTTCTCAATTTGGATAGAGGCAGTGCCAAGGATGGTGAAGGACACACTGGAGACTCAGGCATTTCATTTCCAGACTCCTTCACAAGTGTGTTCCTTGGCTGAATTGCAGCAAATGGCTTTGTGTGAGTTTATAGCATTTTATTCATATTCACCTGGTTCTATTTAATTTAATTTGAACTTGTTGCACTGTGCTGCACAAATCTGTGCTCTACAACTGAACTAAAATCAATTTATTTAACAAGAAGTATTTTAGTTGGTCAAATTAAGGCACCTTTTAGCATTTTCAAGCCAGACTAGAGGACAATTTTACTGCTCACAGTGGTTTCTGATCCATTATTTCTCAGGATCCCTTATGTAATGATTGTTTCCTGAAGAATAATCTTTTCCACCTAGCCTTTCCTCTTCAGTGATTTTCTTACAAATTTATGTTACACTTCTTCCTCAGGCTACTCAATTAAAAATTGAGTCATCACATTAATGCTCAATCCAGCACTGCTTTTAACTTTATTTTAAGGGATTTGGCACACCCACAAAATCCTACTGGTAGCAGTGCTTCCTACTACAGTTATCTAACACAAAGCACCACACTGGAGTTTTTTTGGATTTTAGGAAGTCTCTCACAATAGTCTCACATAACAATGTGACAGAATGCAAGTGGAATTACTCAAAGGTTTTTAGTCCTATGAGATATGGACAATTTAGCAGAGGATGCCTGGACACTTTGGCAGTCACCTGCCAACAACTGCCACTTCATGAATCAAAATGTCTCAACAGGCAGATGAGAGGCTGATGAATCTGCCAGAGCTCTTTGTATAAAGTCACTTACAGAAGTAGCTGGCGGAAAATATACACTGACTTCTTAAAAAAGATTGAAATAAAAAATCCTTTCCTAAAAGAGGAAGTTAAAGTAATAAAATCTCATCTAAAATAAAGTTATCTTCCAATCAAACAGGAATTAGGCAAAAGAAACCTGGAGGAAATGCAATAGTCAAAGAACTGCTTATCATACAAGGGGTGATGAAAATGGCTTTAGTCATTGGATCACAGGTGGCAGAGATGAAGCCAAGAAGAATTGAAAAGAAAACTTTAAAATCCTAGTGATCATTATCTAATTGTGACATCTAAAAAAGTTCCTCCATATTAACACAATATTCTCCTTATTGTCCCAAAGATGAAAACCACAGTCCCCAGAGATTACTGGGCTCAGAATGTGAAGGATGAGGCTGAAAAATCCCAACAAACACCATATTCAAATCAGAAACAAGGAATAGGTTTAGTCAGAAGATTTTTGGAAGATTTTTTGGATGCTGAGAGGCATCAAAGCTTGTAGACCTGAATTTTGCAGTAGTAGAGCAGAGGAGCTGATCACTGACTGTGAGGATAGGGGAAAAGGACACTTCATCTGCAAGGTGAGAATTTCAGAGTCACAAGCCAAACTCTATATTTGAAAAAAAAGATCCCTTCTCTAGGCTTATTTCAGGTATTTTAAGGATGTTTCCAGGAAAATCTGACATGTTTTTCTTACAAATCTGATGGCTCCAGAGGGCACCAGGTAACATCTCCAGGCAAACCTGACACCTAAGCACAGCATGCCTGCCACCAAGTGTGACATAATGTGCTTGAGATCACGTATCAGGCCTGCATCTTTATTCCCTCAAGGCCACTGGATATTCTCCCCTGTCCTTTTATGGTGCTACAGGTCAAGATAACATCCTGAGGAATAATAAATTAACAAAGCAATGAGTGCTGAAGATTGACTCAGTGTGACATGGAATAAAGAGCACCTGCAGCAAGCAGAGAAAGCAAACACTCAAAGGTGATGTTGAATTGCACAGATCACTCCTGATGCAGAGAGAACAGGGAGTTCACTGGGTCCACAGGCAAATGTCAGGGTTGGAAATTTGCCCTCCTCAAATGTATAAAGTTAAAAAAATATTAAGTGCTGGCTTTAGCTGTTTAGAGAAAAATGATGGTGTTTTAATGGAGGTGAGCTGAGTGGTAACAATGAGCCAAATTACACCACCCCAAAGTACAAATTCATGGAGAGGAACCTTGCAGAACTTATTGAGGACTAAACAAAAGGATGAAGAGTTGATAAAGCAATAAGTAAAACAAGGAATACTGGCTGGAGTGCTCTGTCCAGCTGTGTGGAGAACTTGTTCCTCACCAAGGATGACCTAAACAGAAACAAGACAGCTCCAGACTCATGCCCTGAAACAGTACCTCAAAGGGCAAAAAGGTTTTGGAGGAACTGCTTAACTAGCATGAGCTGTAAATCTGGAAAGAATTTCTTTGAAGGAATAAAAACTCTGTGTTCTTAGAGTAGAAACTATATTTATTTAATTCACTTAGCAAGTTGCTCAACACTGTGATAGCTAACAAATACAGTGTGGGATTATTTCCTTTGTTAGAGCCAAGTCACTGTGACAGATTATGCCTAGACTGATAGATTTTACTTACTGTATGAATATTAATGATTTTAGTACTCCCTTCTCAATAGTTGTGTTTAACATATGTTTCCAGAATTATGCATCATGCTGCACATAATGCACCTCTCTATCTGGCAAGGATTTCACTGCTGAAGGTATTGTTATCCAAGAAAAAGAAAGGCTAACTGGCATGCATGCATCTTTTGTCGCCTTCAATTAACACATTCATTAAAGTCTGCCATGGCAAAGAATGAGCTTTATATGAGTGGATTTCATTACTGCCTCACACCCTGTGCACAGCTCATGTGAAATGAATTGGTTTCAGCACAGTTTGTCAAAAGCACTGATTTCTGTGGTCAGAATCCTCCACCACCCATCTGCATGAACCTTTAAATAACCTGTGAAATACAGAATGACATCTGAGATTCTTCTTTACTCATCAATCATTTTCAGGGGGATTCTTAGGTGATTTGTTAAGTTTCTGCAGGATTTTCTGTCAAGGCTGTAAATCTCATTTCCTACTGAAAATTTGGCTGCACTTTTCCATCAATTCTTTTCTTTAGTAACTTTGAATCTTGGACATCACAAACTTCTGGAGCCTTTTCCTCAGTTATTAAACAGTGCTGGAAAATTTGTCATATGTGATCACAGAAAGGGAAGCTCATTGGAGAAGCTATTTATGACTGTGCATGTCTGCTCTGAGATGTAACAAAAATACCTGAACTCCTTCTTTGTATTTAAGCACTGAAATTTTCACTGAAATTTCTAAGAAGCTCCAAACTAGAAGAAGAGAAATTAAGAGCCTAATTCTTGGAAGATTTTGAACTCCTCCTTCATATTTAGGTACTGAACTTCCACTGACATTTCTAAGAAGCTCAAAACTAAAAGAAGAGAAATTAAGAGCCTAATTCTTGAAGATTTTGGCCTTGGTCCTGCCTGATTGTGAATTTGGGCAAGGTTCACTGACTGCACTCTCATAGATTGCTGTGGTTAATTTTTTTGCTCTTTTTTTTCCATTTCTAGGTCTACTGCGTTCCTGATTCCTTAGCAAGTTTTCAAATGTAAAACTGGGGGATGATCATTCTTTATTTCTATGTAAAAATCAAATCACTGCTCCTTTCCACAAGGACTCAATTCCCCACAAGACTGAAAAAAACACAAGAAAAGGAATAAAAACCACATCCATCACATTTCTTTCTACGCTTTCTAAGCAGACAGTGGAAACCATCAGCATTTTTACACTGTGACTTGTGCACCACGTTCCTGTGCTGAGCTCACCTTGTCAAGGAAGGTGGGGCGGTCCATGGAAGACTCTTTGGAGATTGGTGGTGGGCGGCAGCCAAGGGGTTTGGTGACCATTCCATTGTAGTCGGTCACTCCCATTCCACGCTTGTCCATTTCCACCTTCTTTTCCAGCAGAGCACCTGCACAGAGAAGGGAAATATATTGGCAAAGGTGAGGTAAAGGGAGCAAAGTTGCCAACAGCAGTTCAGAGAAATTCATCTTGCTTACGAAAGCAAGGCAAGAGAATAAATATTTTCTAATTAATCTGAGTGTAATTTAAATGCTTATAATCATGCAGGGTTCCTGTGTTGCTTTAAAGACAAAAAAGTTACTTACACAGATACTTACTCATGGCCTGATCAAGATTCATACTGTTGCTCTTCAAGGCCTCTTCCGCTGGCTCTCTCTGTTAAAAACAGGAATTATGTTAAGAGGAAAAGTAATCATGTCCATGTGATTTCAAAGTAACCTGAGAAAACAGACACAACTCTTAAATACTGGGCTTAATGTTTACTCAGCAGCCTAAATAATGTCTGTGTGTGGTTTTTTCCTGCTTTCAGCAATTCTCACAATTCAGGTATTTCAGTTTGTCAAGGAAGTACTGGCTCTACAAGGTGAAACACATTGTTCTGTTTAAACATCTTCCTGTTTTCCATGAACAGCTCAAATATCCCAATGATATGACTTTCTCTAAGAACCAACCCAGCTTTACTCTCATTTCACCTGTTTAATGAAAAAAGAGGAAGGTGAGGGGATTATTACTGCACTTCAAAGTAATACCTGTTGTTATAAAACTATGAACTTCAAAATCTTATCCCAATTCATCTCAGAGCATTGAATAGGTTTAGAGCAGATTTCTGAAATCACAGTATGTGTTTCAATGCAGATCAGAGCTACTTCCTGGCCTGGAGACTGAAGATCTTGGTGTAGCTACAGTCTGAAACAGCCACAGTCAGAAGTACAAGCTAAAATCTAAGGCACAGCGTGCTGCCTGAGCACTACTCACAGGGAAGCCCATGTCTGTGAGCTGTTTTATCAGACGGTTCATGATCCAGGCCTCATCCTGCTTGCTAGATGTCTTCATGCCCTTAGTAAATAAATGGGAGATTCCATTAATGGGCTGCTTGCCACGTTCATTGTAGTGAGATGTACATAAAAGAAATGGTAAGTGGTTTTTATTAATAGCACATGCTACTGAAAGATGTATTAGTACATTAATTCAGAAAGTATTGAAGAACCCTCCGAGCAACGCAACTAAGATTCTCTTCCCCCAAAAGTGTAAAAATTTATCTCAGCTGAATAGGTGTTCAGTGTACTATTTAGTATTTGATTTGCTGGCCACTGAATTAAAGCCACCTTTGAATTTAAGTATTTCATTTTAATCCTTGGCAGAAAAATATAACGAAATAAAGCTGAAATAGTACAACACTTCCTGAAAAACATTCCCAAAAACAAGTTTGCAACCTTGAAGTTAAGAATGTTACTCAGTGTATTTTCTTAAAAACAAACAAGAGCGTCTAGATAAACACCTTTAAAAGATCTTTGTGCAGCTTTTCTATCACAATATCCTTAAGAAGTCTCTTCTTTTCAGTTCTCCAGAAAGTACCAAGGGACAAGCGCGGATTTGTTTTGGGCTGTGGACAGTACAAGAAACAACCATACTTGATCAAATCACCGGCCTAACTGTTGGCTAATGGATTAACAAACAAAGTGGCTAAATGCATTCCCAATTCCTTTAAGTTACAGCCTGGCCTTGTCCTGAAATAAAGGCTGTGCAATGGAAAATTTCCTCACACAATTAATTGTCTACGTTCTCGGCTGAGTGCAGCATTAACACAAGTTCACTTTGTTCTCACACACACACACACACTGTCCTCACAAATAGAAAACAGCATTTTGTGTTAAACAGCTCCATCACAATGTTTGCTTTTTCACCACCATGGGAAGTGTCTGAAAGCCCCCTTAACAACTTCTTCTCTTTCTGTTAATACATTATCATTTCTTTAGAATACATGGAAGTTTATAAAACTTAGAGAAAACAAAGGCAACAACAACAACAAAACTCCCGAAGCATCTGACATGCCTAAACTCAAAGATCTCCCATTTTCCCCTGGAAACAAGGTAGGCTGTACTTGAACCACTGTAGTGGCAAGCTGTGCTTGTGTTCAGGTGTCAGAGCTTTAATTTCAGGTGTAATGCACCAGCAAATTTGCGACAACTTATTCTACAAACGTTACACTAATTCCACTCTTGCAAGAGAGTGTCTTTATTTTTGTCTTACCTTTTGAAGTCCTTTCTTCGGGGCATTCCCCCAGGAATTACAGGAGGAGCTACTCTCTTGTGAAGCAGTATTATTCCACATATCTCCTTCTTCATCTTCCCACTGACTAGTACTGAGATTCACATCATCCCCACCACTGCCCCAGCCTTCTTGCATAGATTTTGAAGCTGGAAGGAAAGTGGGAGAAGAAAAATATTATTCAGTTTCCTGCAAATTTCACAGAAATAGTCTTTTGTGCCATATCCAGTGTACTAATGTGAGCATTTTCAAGAGACAAAGAAGTTCATCACATAGCTAAGAATGTCTTCTTGGAAGCTAGCAAAAAAAAGGCAAGTTCTCTAAGAGAACAAAACATCCAGCAACTTCCAAGTCCTGCTTTTCCCAGAACCAGTAAGATCTGTGGTCATGGCCACTCCACTCTCCCAGGAACAAGGAAGCAAAGTATGAGCACACATTTGTTAAGTGCTATTTTGCTTTCAATAAATCTCACCATTTTACCTACCACATTCTTCCATGAACAAACCAGATTTCCAAGTCATTAATGCTCAGACACTCATTTCCATCTTGAAGAATGAAGAATCTGAAAGGAGCTTGTGGGCTGCAGGAACACTTCAGATTCAGTGACGAGGTTGTGTCACCTCAGTCTGTTTTTTTCTGTTTACTCTGTTTGAAGCTGGGATTACTCATCTTAAGAGTTCTCACTCCCCCTTTTATGTTTTCTGGGAATTCTAACTACGTCTGACTATGCAGGAGAGAATCTCTAGGCAACCTGCACAGCCAAGAGGAGAGTCTAAAGCAATCACAGTGGCCCTCAGGACATTCAGAGATGGAGGAGATTTGTCAAATACCACGAGTTAGGAATCACGAAGCAGGAAGTAGTTCAGGATGTTCCTGAACCTGCCAACAGTTTTAATGGCTGAAGAAAACACCCACTCACTCAGTTTAACCCAACATGAGGTTGTTATCATTAGTGGGTCTCAGGTGTTGCTTTTCCTACCAGAATCAATTCTATCTTGACTGTTCTCCACTGCTTCTCATCCCAATACAGGTTTCTTTTAGACACCAAGGGTTTAAGTCCTAGTCACGTTCTTCTGCAGTTTCACAGTTTCCTGCACCTCTGCCATGCTGCTTTTCAAACACACAAAACTACTCTCCTTTAACTTTCCAGGTGGATGCACCATATTCATATTTTTGAATTAACTGGGTATTTGGATTAACGTGGCCTTGTGACAGCTAACACAGTTTTGAGAATGAAATAATGAAGGCGGCCCTGTGACTGAAATGCAGAGAAAAGCAAAAGTGGCAAAGCAAACTCCTGTGACTGAGATGCAGAGAAAAGCAGAAGTGGCAAAGCAAACCCCCTCCCCTGGCAGGACAGTGGCAGCCCTGTGTGTACCTGGTTTGCACAGTGCTGGGGCAGCAGCTGGAGCATTTGTTCTTCCATAGGTCCCTGCAGGCTCGGCAGGATTCTCTCCCCACCCGGTCCCACTGCTGGGGGGCTTCCCCCAGGCTGAAGTGCCATTATCAACTGCAGCAGAAGGGGAGGAAGGCTCTCCCCAGGAAGCTTCACTCTTGGTGTGGACAGCAGGCATCTCTCCCCAGCCTGCTGGAGCAAGGCAAGGAGAACAGTGATGAGAGGTAAGGTTTCTTCATCCAATAATACAAAAAAAGTTTAAATTTTGCTCATGAGTTTCTCTGGAAAGAGCATGAACCAGTAAGTACATACAGTGATTGTAGTTAGGTGTGTTTTAAAAAATACCTTAAATTTGGTTTTAGGAGTTTCTTCTTAATTCAATACTAATGTAAAGTTGTTAACACAACAGAAAGAGGGTTTTTCTCCAGAGCCAGGAGCAACCAGGCTGCCAAGTGAGCACCACACTGGTCCCAAGGAGCTGCTGCTCCCACCTGCCCAGGGCCAAGTTCCAGAGACCAAGACCCCAGTCTGACTTGGGCCTTGCTTCCTTGAAAGATCTTAACCTATTTTATTTTCTTTTCACTGTTTAAAAACTATAAAATTTCTTTTCTCATGCCCTGGCAGTAAGAAGCTGTTTGATTGTACCTAATCTGAGTGAAGATTATCTGTGCTGAATGTATTCCTTAAAGCTATTATTACAGCTCATGGTTACCTACCTATCCCTCATCACTGACCTTCTATATTATAATAAATATTATTTTAAGGGGAATTAATCAAGACTGCAATGAGAATACATAATCAAAGCACAGGGAATGGCAGGTAGAAGCCATTGTTTTCCTACAGAGCATTACATGAACTCACTGAAGACGTAAGCTACTCCAAAGAAACAGCTTTAGTCTGGCTGGCCTTGAGTGTAATGCTCTTAAATCCATCTGACAGGATTTCAGCCCTGCAGCAACAGCCACAGGGCTCCTGAGCCTACAGAGCAACCTGACAACACAGCAAAGGGGAAAAATGAATTTACAGCCATTGTTACCAGAGATTTTCTGGAGAGAGGACTTGGATCACAGGTGGAGTTCAAGGTACTTTGTAAACCAGCACAAAGAGAGGCACAACAAGCAAGAAAACAAAATTCTTACAGATACCTGACACTAACCTATTTTTCTACAATTGTAAAAAAACCTACATCCCATTACATGACAGCTGAGATCTTCACAAATATTGTAGAATACAGTCTGCTTAAAAATTCCACTGGTAATTAGACTGCTAAATTAGGAACCTGTTCCCTTTTCACTGGAGATGAATGTTATTAAGATGAGTATTTTCTAAGTGAATGACCAGATGCTGCTTTGCCACAGCATTATTTCCTTTTTTTCGCTCCACAATGGCATCTGTAAAAATGCTCTGGAAAGGTTTCAAAAAGCAGGAGCAACATTTTTACTACAAATTGACACCCAGAATAGGTAGGCAATGGCAAGGGAGTGTCTAACAGCACCTTGAAATCCATTGGAATAACCAAAGAAATGGTTCACTGAGCAACAAGTCCTTGCAGAACTCACTGAATTCCACAGAATTCCCCTTACCAGAAGCTGCAGCAGCATCCACTGCCAAACACAACTCAAACGTTGCCTGGCAGAGAAAACAATCAAATAGATGGGCCCAGAGCTGTGCACTGATACCGTGTTTCTGCATTATATATTTATCTTAGGCTCTATTCCTTACAGCAGCTCTCTCAGACACTGATGCCAGTGCAGATGGCACAGTGACTGCCAAATTCTGCACTGGTGTGTTGCAGCTTCAGAAAACTCCTTCTCTACCAGCAAGAGGCACTGAATTAAAAGCAAGCTCCTGAAACAACCCAAAATGTCACAGTTTCAATCAAGCTATTTCCATTTGAAACAAAAATGCCATGGTTTAGGCTCCAGCAATGTACCTTACATTTCTGGTTATTTTAAGGTGTGCAAAGAAGATAAACTGGCAGATCCACAGATGTACCTAAATGAACCTGTACTTAACATGACAGCTTCCTTGGTGTTGCACCTGAAATGCTTTTTTCAAGGTTCCTGTTTGTATTTTCTAGCTAACTTTTTTTAAGGGAGGCTTTGTTTGAGTTTCTGCCTCACTACTCAGGAGGCAACTGGCAGACAACTGTGAGTATTAAATCATATTGGCAGCTGCAAAAGATTAACTGCAGGCAAATGAAACACTAAACAAAACATCTCCACAACACCACCCAGACTGCAAACAGGGACAGTGCAGAGTATTAACAACCCCCTGGCTTCATGCAACCTCTACTAGAAACTCTACCTAACTCAATTTAGGAAATCATCCTTAAAACACAATTGATACATTAAAAAGCCAAAGTGTGCTATGCTATAGAGTAAAAACCTCTAAAAACCTGGTCCCTTTGCTGCCCTTAGAAATTCAACAACTTCCACCAAAGGCCACAGATGTGTCATGTCCAAATTATTTTAAGTGCTTTTAAATGCACTGAGCAGGAAATAATATGGGATTACAAATAATGGGAGAGTCAGCCTTTACTAACAGAAAATAGTACAAGTACATAAAAGCCAACAAAATAAATCTACAAGAAGTTTTCCAAACTATCTTAACAGATAAAATTAAGTGCAGGAAATTAGTAAATAAAACCTGAAGGCTGCTGGAAAAAATAACCCGTGCACTGTAAGAACTATCCTGTCTGTAAATTCTGGAGCATTTCTAAATTGCAAACCCTTTTTCCCCTCTGTGTAAATACTGCTGTCCCAGTGCTGCTGTCTCTGTGCTATCTTCCTGTGACTCCAAATGATTCTGTTTTAGAAAGTTTAAAGGTGAATGAAATTACATTTTTGAATGAATGATGAAAAACTCTCCATGGCTGTTGGGAAGGCAAACCAAGACCTTTGAGCAGTCTCAAAACCTGAACCTGCCAAACATTTTCAAAAGTTCTGCTTGGAGAAAACTTCCTTTTTTCTGTATCATGAAAATAATACAGATTTAAGCTCTTCTGGTAAAAAGCTCCTTAAAACCCACCCAGACCTGCACAAATGTTGTTTCACAACAGAACGTGCTCCATTTAAAGGCTTCTTTGGCAAGAAAGTGAGGTTTTAGTACTGAAGTTTTTAAACATTGTTAGAATTGCAAGAAATGAAAAGATCCCAGTAAGTAATAAACATGGACACTTTGGCAGAGCTTTGTTTTACAGAAATAAAAACATAATTAACATTGGGCCACAGCCAACAGGAAATCCTCAAGGGAAAGTGAAATGTTAACTAAGCTATGGCAGGATGCAGTTGTTTTCCCTCAAAATAACCCTATAGCTATTTGGATGGCAGAAATTGTTTTCTTTCAAGTTGTTGGTCCGTGATAAATACCAAAGCACACGAGCACAATACAGGGAAACCAAAATATTAGAACCTTATACAGATAAAAAAGAAGATATTAGGCAGAAAAGAGGTTGTTTACATACTAATTATTCTGGGTTTTATATATATACATTTAAGAGCCATCTACAAGCTTTAATCTTTCAGATTCTCATTTTCTGAAAGGGATTCCAGTTCATCACTGAGCATTCAGAAAGCTCTAATTTGGGTTTCAGCAGTGACATCACCCTTGTGTGAAAATCGAGGGCAGCTCTCTCAGCATCACTTGGCTGCCCCCCAAAACCTGGCTATTCATGTGCTGAGCACCCACCAGAGGGCTTTAGGCTTTCACATGAGCACCCTAAAGGAGCCCAAAGTTGAGCTGCTTTCAAATCCATTCTGATGGAAGTTCAAAGTAAGAAAAACACTGCCATGTGAGCTGCCACTTAGCAGCACAGGATTATAAAAGGAACAGAGATGTTTGGAGCTTTCAGAACTTAGACCCAGTTCAGGTTTTTAAAACTTAAGCTCCTCACTCTCTAGTAACCACAAAGACCTTAATTTGTGACCTACAATCCCCACAGGAAAGGCTGTTATCTTCTGTTGCTTCTTTCCTCAGCTGGAGGATGCTGGAACCCTGCCAGGCCCCCCTGATGTAATGAGCAGGAAAGCATCAAGCCCACTCCTCAGCACTTGGAGGGAGGATCTGATGCTGTTTGTGATCCAAAAATCTCTTTAAATAAATTCTGTTTGCAAAGCCATTTCTTATTTCTTATTCCCCCCATATCAAAGCTGCATGAGTTAGAAATGTTAGGAAGAATTATGCACAAGTAATTTTGATTAAACCCCAATCTAAGCCAAACCCACCAGCTTTCTGCCCCTCTTTCTAAGTAATTCACTAGTACCTTAAAAATAAGCTCCTATAACCAGCAAGGACTGTATCTATCACATTATCTATTTCTTTCCCCCTCTTTTTTCCCTCTTCTTTTCCAATGGAAAATGAAACTCCTTAGAGCATTCCTTATTTTCACCAAGTGTTTACCAACATCTGCTTCCCATCAATGGCTTTTAAGTTCTGCCTTCAAAGGATCTGGAGAACTTCTGGGGATGGGTGACAACTTGAATAACAAGACTGTAACTTGGCCTCTATTTCCAAACTAATAAAGCATACACTCCAATCCCAAAAGGAACTGTTAATCCTTTGTGAACTCCTAACTAGGGCTGTGCAGCAGAATTAAAATCCACTTTTTTGCCTACAGGACGTGTGACTGTGACAACTTCCATCTGCCAACTCCTCCCTACTTATACAGGAATGCAATCCATGATTCCTTTTATTCATTATATTCCCTGAAAGTGATTGGCAGAGCTCATCATGACCCATGCAGGTGACAAAATGCCCATGGTAACTACAGAGTTCAAGAGTTGCAGGATTTTAGATGAGCGTGCACTTTAGCACAGGTTTTAATAACATAATCATGCTCTGCATGGAAAAGAATTGCTGCTGGATCAACTTTGCTTGTGAATTGCAGAAGTTTCCTGGTGACAGAATTCTCTGCAGAGGCTGCAAATGCACAGCCAAGTGGAGAGGGGACTGGAGTAGGAAAAAGAGTTAAACAGCACAAACCCAAAGTGCAGGGTCCTGTCTGTGTGGGAGGCAAGGCACTCACTACTTGCTTCCCATGTTTTGGATGATTTGTGGATGCTTCAGGTCTGTGTACATTTCCCCCAGAGCACGAGGATGCTGCTGTGCAGCTGCCCTGGGAAAAGGGGGCTCCTGCCCAATGCCTGAAGGGAAACCCCTGGGATCCATCCCTTGGAATTGCTGCTCTGGGTGGGAGGTAAGCACAGCTCCCTCTCTGGCACAGCCACGAGCAAACACAGCAGAGCTCAAGACACAGGGACTGTTCCTTGCTTCCATTCAGACAAAAATCCTTCCAAATATTTCCACGTTTGACCTTTATACTTCTACTATGCCAAGAGTTGCTAATACACATTTATATACTTCACATACCCTATACCCAGAATTGCTGTACTATACCAAGTATAAGGTTTAATTTATGCCTGCTACAACTTGATCTAAATTTTCATATCAGAACCATATTTTTAATTGTCTTCACTATTACTCATTTTGTACTTTTCCTGCATGCTGACTTAAATATATTCTGAGAGCTGGCTTTGCTTATCTTGGAAAATTAAAAAAAAAATAAAGGAGAATATCAAAGATCTGCTTATCTTAAAAGATCTTAGAATCTTTCTAGCTCACATTTTTCAAGAAGCCCAACACTCACTTGAACCTGGTTGGGGGCAGCTTGAGCAGGTTGGTTATGTGCCCATAGGCAGCTTTCTGAATATGTAAACAAATTGCTTCAAAGAAACCCTTCCTTTGCTGCTGTCCATGCTCCAAAGGAATCACTGCAGATTAACACCAGCTTTTAAATTCCATTTTCAAAATCTGAAGGGCTCAGGACCATTAAGTTTTTCTCTATAAGGTGTTAATTATTTGAATAATATTAACAATGCATTGCTGTGTATGAACAGTTTCATAAGCACCAAAGTAATCCTCCAAAAATCACCTTAATGAAAAACAAAACCTCACCTCAACCCAACCAAAAATCCACTTTCATGATACTTCCATTACAATTCAGGAATCTGAATTGTTGCTTCATGGATAAAGTTTTAAATATGGATTACATGAAGCAGTCACATCTGTTGGGCTGACCAAGTACAAAGCCATTTAAAGATTTCTCCTTCTGGAGCACATTATTTCATTAAATAGGTACCCTCTACTGTTAACATATTTGACCAGAGTGGGGAACCTAAGACTATTTTTATACAGACATTAAAGCAAATTTGAAACATTCCAAAACATCAAAGAGAAAAAGGATGGGAATGAGAGAACAAATCCCACTTGGAGAAAAACGTGGCTAAAAAGTCAGTTCTTAGCCATGACCATGATGAAACAAAAACCTGGAAACAAAACTCAGATGGAGAATTTAAAAGAGTACTACATGATTAGATTTATTTTGGAGAGGTCTGTGGTCATGATATAGATATGGGCTGCTAGTGTAACTTTAATTTAAATACCTCTCTTTTAAGCATTTTACCCATTTTTATGCATTTTTATTCCTTGCTGCTTGTCTGCAACAGCACCTTGCCTTTGATTAGAAAAATTCCACAATGTCTGAAACCTTGCCTTTGAAACACAGCTGAAGTTAGGATAACCTAACTTCAGCAACCCTAAATAACACCTTGAATCAGTCCTGCTTTTTGAGAACCACACAAAATCCAGGATGCTGCCTGTGCCTGACCCCTGAGAAGAGAACCATTTCTTCATAAAAGACAACCAGCTGGACAGAGAAACAGCAGCAGCCTAAATTCATGCAATTGTTAACAAACATCTGTTGCCAAGAGATGTTTTGCAGAAAAGAAACAGATGCAGACTGTCTAAACACACTGAGCCTGCGCAGTGGGGACAGCAGAAAATAACAGAAGAAAGGTTTGCCAAAATCCCCCAGCCTCTCAAATGGCTGAATTAAAAGGTGTTAAATAACTGTGGAAGAGATGTTAAAATGAACATGGATCCACAATCTAAAACCCACCATGCTAATGACTAAATATTGCTTCAAGCCTTTCTTACATTCATTTAGATTATGGAAATTTGTGTTAGGTTCCATGGGTTCTGTCCTCAAGACAAGACAGCTTCAGAGAAAAGGAACAAACATATTCTGGGCATAAACACAGGATTTCTACCCAACACACCAACAGGACAGACAGCATTCAGCAATTGGTACTGGTATAAAGCATTTCTTAACCTATTTTATGAAATATTTCACAAAACTGTTGCCATACCTGGGCCAAGCAGCGGGGACCGGTTTGGCTGGGCACTTGACTGGTGCGATGGCTGAGGTTCAACCATGTTGGTGTTGATAATGGTGCTAGTGGTGGTGGTGTTGGTTGTGGTACTGCTCTGAATTATAGGATTATTTCTATCCCACATGTTTACAGTCTTGTTGTTGTTGTAATTTGGGTCGCCCCAAGCTGAGGTACCATCATCGATTTCCATCTTGCGGCGAATGGACGGTGGAGATGGCTCTTCCCAGCCAGTTGCCTCACAGTTCTCTTTTTGTTTGGCTGGCACTGGCCCACCAACCCATCCTGACCCCGTCTGTTTTACAGAAGCAGCTCCTCCCCAGTTACTCACATTGTTGTCCTGGGGTTTATTAGCCCAATTTTGTTGGGGGCCTGGCTTTAAAGATTCCCCCCAACTTGTACCTGTATTAGCCTTGCTGTTTGTGCCATTCCCCCACCCACTGGTCCCAGACTTTGTGGAATCATTCCAGCCAGACCCCGATCTATTGTCAGAATCCCATCCAGATCCATTCTTCTTCCCATCACCCAAGTGTCCAGGAACAGATGATGAATCTGTCCAGTCTCCACCTCCTGAAGTCCAGCTTGGATTTGATTTCTGTCCATCTCCCCAGTTTTGAGATTTGGGTTTCTGAGGTTCACCCCAGGTAGGTGATTTGTCCTCCTGATTTGCGGTCCCACTCCAAGTGTGGCCGCTTTTGGCAGCAGCAGCATTATTAACAGTAGTAGAGCTTGCTGACTCTCCCCACCCCCCTGGGCCATTTGGTGCTTTGTTGTTATTGTCTCCCCAACCTGTATTTGTTGGAACAGCTGCCGGTGGAGAGTTGACCCACCCAGATACTGAAGAGGTATTTGTACTGTTCATGATGGACCCATCGTTCTTCCCCCCTGAGTTTGAAGATTGAGTAGCTGCACAACCCCAGGCCTCAGTTCCATTGTCATTCTTCCGTTCAGACCTTGGGGACTCTTCAAATTCCCAGGCAGTGTTTTGCTTCACAGGGGTCTGTCCCCACCCCGTATTGGACAGGACCCTGGGGTCAAGGTCATTTCTTGGCAACTGAACTTGCCCTTGGTCTATCATCCCTTTGTCTCTCCTCCTGCCCTCTCCAGCCCCCTCCCTCCCAGTACTGCCTTCATTTTGACTCCCACCGCTGTCGTTGCTTCCTTCACTAGCCGTGGTGCCAGACGCCGCAGCTTTGGCCCAAGAGTTCATTTGTTCATTGCCCTGCTGCATGGCAGGATTGGGACTGGTAACACTCGAGCTATCCCACCCTGTTGATCCTTTCCCATTGATGTCGCTATTGGAATGCTGGTTTGGGGGCTTGCCCCACTCGCCGTTGACGCCGTTGCTGGCGCTGCGGTTGGGGTGGCCCCAGGCTCCAGAATGCACACTGCCAACCCCGCCACCGCCCCTGCCCCACGCCAGGACCCCGGGGCCAGAGGGAGGCCCCGAGTCCCACGCGTTCGCTCCGTTTCCTTCCTTCTGCACAGCGCTGCTGGATCCGTTTTGTTTAGCACTTAATGCTGAGTTCACAGTGTCTCCATTCCCCTGACTGAACCCAGAATTGCTGTTTCCTGCGGCAGGATTACCTGGGGACATCCCCCATACTGAACTGCCCATTCCTTCACCACTGCCCCCGCTGACTTGAGAAACCGCTGTCCCGTTAGCACCAGGAAGGCCTTGCAGGTGGGGCGGGATGATGGCCCCCATGCCCACGGCCATCCCCCAGTTCGGCAGTCCGTTTGTCTGCATTGCATTGATAGGGTTTGGTGAAGAGTTCATGGGGTTAGTGTTATTTGGTCCATCAGTGTTAAGGTTCTGAGGTTGTACGCTGAAAGACACATTCTGAGAAGTGGACGTTTGTGGTTCTGTGCTCTCTTGCGGCAGCAAGTTTCCCCAAGCACCTAAGGTGCCTGTTGGGTTCCCATTCTGGTTGCCCATGTTCTGACCTATGGCACTGACTGGACTGCAAATACTGGAAGGGTTGCCTGCTCCCACAGTTCCTTCGTGTCCAAGTACAGGCCAGGCAGCTGGATTGGCATTAGGGTTAAGGTTAAGATTAATGCCAGCATTCGAGTTGGAAGCACCCCAGCAGTTCTGACTTCTACCGTCTCCCATCATGTTGTCCATCTTTCCATCCCCACCACTGGCAGAGCAGTGAGCTAGGCCAGAGCTGGAGCCCGCAGCCACCCCCCACACCCTGGCCGAGCTGCCGTTGCCGTTGGCTCCACCAGCTCCAAGGGCACTCTGGTTAGAAGTGCTTTGGACGAGTGCTCCGTTGGCGCCATTATTGCCATTAGTTTTCTTTGTATGTCCAGTGAAGTTGCCTTGGGCACTCCCTGTAGCCATGCTACTGTTCTCTGAGCCACAGTTGGAGGCAGAGTCAGTGTCTGTAGTACATTCTGAGGCAGACTCAGTCTCAGCTCCGGTAATGGAAGGCCACGCTTCCTTGTCAGTCCTGTCTATTATCACTTTATCCCAGCTGCAGTTGCCTTCACTCCTGAAAGCGGGCTGCTGTCCCCAGTGGGAATTCTCATAATGGTCTCCCAATCCACTGTGGCTGAGATCTGAAAGGATCCAAGGTTAAAAATGAGTCCACTGTTCAAGCACTGCAAAAGCCCTCTATTAAAAGCTCTGTTTTACATCACTAGTTACAACATTACATTCTGCTAAAATTTAGAGTACATTCTCTAACATAATACAGCAATTTTCCTCACTACAATGCTACAATTTTCCTCACTACGATGCTCCTATTAACTTGTTTGGGTTTTTTTAATCTGAAAAAATTCTCAATTAAAATAACTGAACAATTTCATTTTAGAACAGAGAAGTGTTTTGTAGCCTCCAGTGTACCAGTAAAAATAAAAAGCAGGCAATAAATAAGAAGAGCAAATATAGTAATTTATGTGTAAAGTCTAAAAAGCAAATTTGGAAAAAAACCAGAAGAGTACCTAGCAGACTCTTACCATTTATTTTGACTCAATTCTCATTCTTCAGAGAAACACAATGAAAGTGCATTCAATAAAAAAAATGTAAAATGTCATCCTGCCCTGAGATATCACATACACACCCACATCACAACACAGAAAATTCATACAGTATTTAGGTTTGCGCCCCTTCTTGGAAACAAAGAAACAAATCCAGACAGCAACCTTTACTGTTAGGTGCCAGTTATAAACACCACCAATGTATATTTTAGCAGAGAACTTGGGCATGTCTAAATAACTGACAGCTTTGTCAGGAAACTTACCTCTCACAGGCTTTACTCGTGGTTTATACATCATTTGGGATTTGTACACACAATCCCCTGTGTCCCCAAGCCAATGAAAAGTGATGCTGTGACTTTTCAGCACTGTCACAGCCTCAAACACAGACACTAACCCAAAAATTAACCAAAAGCTCTTGAGCAGCTGCTTGCTCACCAGAGTATGACGATAAACTGGAAGGCACAACACGTCTCATGTTAAGAGCTCAAGCTTTGGTCAAGGCTTTGCATTTCCTTTCCATCCCAACTGCTCTGTGCAAAATTATTTCTCTCAGTTTCTTTTGACAGGAATTTGACAACAAGTATTTCAGTCTGATCCAATCTGCAGAAGAGCTCCTCTTAACTGCTTGCACATATCAAAGTAACAAATTTTGGATGTCAATTATGTTAACTTGCTTTGAATCTGCTGCAACATGGCTTGTACTCTTTTTGTGAATAAAATGAATATTTTTGTGGGGAAGATGGATGCAACAAATCTCCCAAACAAGTTGTTAACAACGAATGCCTAATATGAATTAATTTAAATCACAAATATGTTGGTGTGATTAGCTCCTCTAATTAGAGGTGTTCTGATACTGCAAAATTTACTCCAGAGATGAGAAAAAGCTCTCTCTTTCTGACAAAGTCTTGTTCACACATTTTACCTGTAGCTTTTTAAGGTGGTTGCTTGGTTGCCTTATGAAGATTTTGCAAGATGAAGAACTAACATGCTAAACCAGCCCAGATTGCTTTTTTAAAAAAATTCAAATTAATTGAAGCAGAAGAAAGGATTTTAGAGAAAGGAAAGGAAAAACAGTCTTAGTTCATTATCTATCTTCTCATGATACCAGGAAAAGACCTAAATAATCACAGAAAATAGAATTGCTTGGGTTTGAAGGGACCTTAAAAATCATCTCATTCCACCCCCTGCCATGGGCAGCAACACCTCCCACTGTCCCAGGGTGCTCCAACCCTGTCCAACCTGGCCTTGGACACTTCCAGGGACCCAGGGGCAGCCACAGCTGCTCTGGGCACCCTGTGCCCTACCACCCTCACAGGGAAGAATTTCTTCCATAATAATTGACAAGCACATGACAAATCTGAAAGAATGTGAACAGAATCACTTGGATTTACCTGGATTCCTTCCTCTACATGCAATGGGTGGAAAGGAAGAAAGCATCCAGTTATTCCTGGATGGATACAGCCACTGCTACAGCACGTTGAACATTTACCTGATGATCTAAGATTTGCTACACAGGTGTTAAACAGAGCCCTGAATCCCAGATAAGACATGGAAGGGGAAGGCAGGCTGTGCAAGGACTTAAAAAGGGTCAGCAGGGTCAGAGAAATGAGCTGAGGAACATTCTTAGCAGAGCAGGAATGAACAAAGGGAAAAAAGCAGCAGCAGGCCAGGCCAGAAGATAAGAAGTTGAGGCAACCAAGGAATCAGATAAGAGGAGTTACAGGAGATTTTATTCAACCCTGTGGGTGGTGCGACTCGGGGCTGCGTTTGAGGCTGACAGAAGGATTTGAAAGTGGCTGGAAATCCATTGTTGCAATGAAAGGTCTCCTCAAAGCTGAAAGCTCAGCTCTGTGTGCAGGTGCTGCCCCAGCAGAGCCCTGCAGGGCAGGCTGGGGAAGGAGGATCAGGAGAGCACCCAGGACGTCTCCATGCTCACAGCACCATGGCTGATGAGATGAAAGGGAGCTGCTTGTTTAATCAGTTTCTTTCTTCTCTCCCCAAAGACATTGGTTAAAGCAGTGCTCAAATTTGAGAACACTTAGGAGACAAAATAAAGGGAAGGAGAGGGACTGAAGATTAAAAAATAGCTTAGAATGATTGCTGAGAGTAGGGAGCAAAACAATTTGTTAAATACAAGACCAGATCTTCAGGAGCAGTAAGAGAAACCAAGAAGAAAATAAAATGATGATGGAGAAGAACTATTAAAACCAAAGAGATGTCCATATTAAGAGTAGAAAATGGCCAAGTGCCTGGGCTTGGTTGGCCAAGCACAGCTTGGCAAGATCCCACCAGGAACGTGCAGCTCCAACCCCGGGGCTTCCCAAGGCTTTGCCAACCCAGGTGTGCTCCCTTTCCTGTCCCACTCTCCCTGAGGTTCAGATGATTCCCCCAACAACACCCATGGGCTAATCTGGCAGTGGTGGCTGTGGTAGGGATGACAGGAATTCTGTGGAGGGGATGTGAAACCAGGGATCCACTGTGGAGCAGCAGCGGGGTCCTGCTGGCACCTCCCACAAATCACAGCTCAAAAATCACAGAAAAAACTTCACAATAACCTCAGAGTGTCCAACACACACTGGAAAAATCAACTGTAACACCAAGGCTGCTGTCATAAAGCTCGCAAGAAAAAGACATATGAAGAAAATGGGAAAAAAAATTCACAGCATGAACAGAAACCTGCAAAAGCTGGGGCTTAGCTGTCAGACAAACCAAGAGTTTGAATACAGATCTTGAATAAAGTAATGTAAGTTTGATGTTCTTGTCTCTAGAAGCTAATAACAAAAAGCCTTTTTTCCATTTTAACTAAAAGGGGCTTGCTGCTATGAAATAAATAATGAGTAGCACAGTCTTACCTAATCCGTAACAACCTTAAACATTTGGGAAAAATAATGAATGTGAAATATTTTATACGATTAAATCAAGAGAACTTTTCTGCTTGTTTATTTGCTTGTTTTTTGAAAAAGCATATTTACTCCAACTTTCTAGGAAACTAACTGTTCACAGAAATTCACAATATTTTGTTTTCTTTTCAAAGCTGTTAAGATTGAAATGGGAAACTCATTTTCAAAATTCTTAAGAATGGGTTCCTCTTTATTTATGCAAAGATGTGAAATAACAGCACTGAGTCCACCAGAAGCATTTCTATCCCTCCTCTGTGAGCTGAGCAAAGACTGTAAACAAGGCACAAGGAACAGGAACCACAGGTATTTCATGTTAGCAAATCCTACTGCTGGGACACCACAAAGTGAGAACTATTTTTAAATTAATACTTTGTGTTTCAATATCTTAATTATGCATCTTTTATAAAATATCATTGCACTGATCAACAACATTTCTTCAGCCATCAGGAAGGAAATATTATTTTGAGGATAATGGCTTAAATTTGTTTTTAACAAGCACAGAAATTCTGTCCAACTGCAACCATACACATGACCTGGAAAATGCACAGCTCTGAGCAGTATAAATAATAGCATGAGGGAGTTGTTTTGTTTTGGATTGCTGTTTTTTTAAATAATATCCTTAATGAGGTGGGAGGAGATTGCTGGTGTTATTATGCACTGTAGCCAGCATACTTGACCAGCTTCAATTCAGTACTTATTAAAACCAGAAAACATTTTTGGCTGTGTTGGGTAATGAATAATTAGTTACAAAATCAGTTTAATGTTTACATAGATTACAAGTGCAAAATATGAGTAGAGTGAAATGGGAGAAGCTGTTGCATGCATTTCTCAGAAAAGAAAATACTCTGCCTGCAGAAGCAACTGACCCCAACTTCCCTCCTCTTCTGAAAATCTCATTTACAATCATATTTAATTTTTTTTAATTCAGGTGAGTTAAAACTAACCGTATCTTCATAGCTTCCATTGCAATAATTAGTTCAATTGCTGTGCAGTAAAACCCTGTCTCCCCAACTATAACACAGCATTCAGCTGCCTTTGGAACCAAAGCACGGACAGGGTACGAAATGGCAAAGCCTGGGATGAACTTTTAATGGAACATTATTAATAAATTGTGCTCAGCCCATTTTAAATCAGATCTAACAGTGACTCCTCTCTCATGACTTGTTTTGTTTTTCAGCCCACGTCTGTCACGTAACAACAACCAGACCCCCTGGCTCGCCCTGTGCTGCCCAAAGGACAGATGACAGACGGTGCTCCCTGCTCTGACATGCAGAACACAGAAAAATCCCCAGGGCCGCTGACAGTCCCACTGGGGATTTTCCTTGGCACATAAAGGTTAGTGATCCTGAGTCAGAATAGGAGGAAAAAAAGGACAAATTATTTTCTCTCCCCTCCTCAAATTATAGTTTTCAATTCAACATGAGCAGATCTTGAAAATACTATAAATGAGTTTTTTGAAATCTGAATCAAACGGGAATCGCCAGGAACATTTTAAGTGCTAAATCAAATGTAGCCTAATTTCATAAAGAAAACATGACATAAGCATCTGTTCAGAAGCACAAAATATAAAAAAGCAGAAAATTTGGGCATTGTAGTGCTAACATTTCAGGTTACCTGCTGCATCCTGCTCTAGGCACAGAGACAGATTTGAAAACTATCATCTATCTGAAGCCCCTAAAA